TAATATATTATAAGGCATATAAATAGTTTTCTTGTCAAAACTACATAACAAATGAAAAACACCATGCATATATCATACACAAGCATGTTCATTAATAAATATATATATATAATATTTATATAAATGTATATTAGTAATTTTATGCAATTATATTAAATTATATTGAATATTTATGATTTAATTATTTTGCAGGTGGAAGAAAACCCATGTTTTTTTCAACCAAACCAAAGCAATACATTAACACAAACCAAAACAATATAAAACAAACATAGATAAAACATTTTTGTTATTTAAGCAAAACACGTGTTTTTCAATATTTTCCAAACCAAAACAAATTGATGTTACTAACCAAACAAACATACAACACATATAAATTCAATACCAAAACCAATGTTCAACAAACATTGGTTACATTAATCTCAACTTTTTCAAGGTGTTGCAAATCTAAATCTGGTTTCAATCACTGGTTGTTGATTTTTTTCAAATGAATTTAGTTTTGATGAATTTTGATGAACTTTGATGAAATTTGATGAAATTTGATGAAAACCTGGTTTTCATCAAATTTCATCAAATTTCATCAAAGTTCATTTTTTTTCAAAACCTTGATTTTTTTGATGAACTTTGATGAAATTTGATGAAAAACTATGTTTTCATCAAATTTCATCAAATTTCATCAAAATTCATTTTTTTTTTCAAAACCTTGATTTTTTTGATGAATTTTGATGAAATTTGATGAAAAACTATGTTTTCACCAAATTTCATCAAAGTTCAGTTTTTTTTTCAAAACCTTGATTCTTCTGATGAAATTTGATGAAATCTGATGAAAACAATGTTTTCATCAAATTTTATCAAAATTCAATTTTTATTTTCAAAGCCTTGAATTTTTTGATGAACCTGTTAAAAAAACTGATAGAATTGGATAGGATTGGATTGGCACTAATATTTTTAAAACCATTTTTTTCAATTTATAAACCCTTTCAAAACCAAAACAAACAGGTTAAATAGTTTTTAATGTTTTTTTGTACACAACAAAACAGTAAGGCAACATTTCACTGTCAAACCTGTATTGGACTATACTGAAACTATACTGGAATTTGTTTGAAAATACATTGTATAATTTGATATAGATTCCAGAGACTATTTGTGTCTGACTCTTAAAATAAATAATTTGAACACTTATTTTTGCAATTAAGGATTTTCCCATCTGCATCTTAACCTATTATATATATAAAAATTAAATTTAATTCATGTTTTTTCAGGTATGAATTCACTGGCTTTTAATTTTGGGTGAAACAGTTTAGTACTCTGTGTTTCTATGCTGTTTCAAATATCATTGTGGGATTTGTTTGGATCAAGAAACTGCAGAGTCAACAGAAACATAATCATCTGCCTGCAGCCTGAAACAGACACCAAACAGCATTTGAGAAATCATCTCAGTTTACAAAAATGAACCTTGACACCTTAAATCTTGAATGTGTGTGGTGTCCCTTTTGCAAGGGATAATGTTTAATTTGGTGCCCCTTTTGCAAGGGGTTGACATTCTGGGAAAGACTTTATTCCATTGCCTTTGTTTTTCAGTAGTATCTGTGTTTCCCTGCTTGGTTGTTTTAGGGTCCATGCAAAACTCAAAAAACATCAGGTTTTCAAAAGGCATATGTCCATGGCAAAGGTTTCTAATTTAAAAAACAAGTTGTGTAAACAAGTTGTGTAAAGTTGCATGTATTTATATTTAATACATTAATTATTTAGTTATTTTGATTTATTTATATTTATTTATTTCATTTTTTTGCTGCTTGCTACACATTTGGTAGCTTCTGTACAAACCACTGTTGGGCTGCAGCTACAAGTGGCCCTTTTGCAAGGGCTGAGCTATGGCTCAGGTTAACACACAGCAAACAGAAACACACAGTGTTTTTTTAAATATCACCACACCTATGTATATATATATATGTATGCATGCATGCATGTATGTATGTATGTATGTGTGTATGTGTGTATGTGTGTGTGTAAATACATGCATTTGTTATTGCAAATGCTGTGTGTAGACCTGAGCCACATGACCCTTTTGCAAGGGTTGCTCTTATTTGATCCTTTTGCAAGGATTATCCTTTTGCAAGGATTGGGGTGAGACACTGTCCCTTTTTCAAGGGGTATCCTTTTGCAAGGCTTGGGGTGAGACATCCCTTTTTCAAGGGGTATCCTTTTGCAAGGATTGGGGCCAGTCACCTACCCTTTTTCAAGGGTTATCCTTGGGGGTGGGCACACTTTACCCTTTTTCAAGGGTTATCCTTTTGCAAGGATTGGGGCTAGACACCTACCCTTTTTCAAGGGTTGCCATGTGAGAGCCATACCCTTTTGCAAGGGTTTTGCAGAGCACCCTTTTGCAAGGGCTGGAAGCAGTCTCAAAGATTGTAATCCCTGATGAACTGCTTCACTGCATCTGCAAAGGATGCAAACCTGGAGTTTTCTGGCATCCATGCATGGCTCTCTCTGGGTGTCTGGATGCCATAGGTTTTGACACCCCATGAGCCCAGCTCTTGCAAGATGTCCTTTGAATCATCAAAGGCCACCTGGCAGCCCCACTCTGTGGCATACTCTGCCTTGCCCCCCACCCCAGTGCGACTGGTGCAGCATCCCCACCAGTGAAGTTGGTCAATGAGATCTGGGAGCTTGTCCCAGATTTCCTTTTTCAACTTTGGGGACCTGCTTGGCCCCACAGAAGGAGAGCACATGCACCTCCACTCCTTTGTCAAGGAGCTTCTGCAGGGCCATGAGGTCCTGGACCAGCAGAGTGTCCTGGGGACCATTTTTCAGGCAATGGTGCCAATCAACCAACACAGCCAAAGGTTCTGATTGGGCTTCAGGAGGCTGCTTCTTTTCTGACCCTTTTTCAAGGGCTGCAGTCTCCTTCCCTTTTGCAAGGGATTTTGCCTGCTTGTTGGTGGCAGTCTTTGACTCCAGAACTGCCACATTTCCTTTTTCAAGGAATTGCCCTTTTTCAAGGGCTGTTGCCTCCTCTTTTTCAAGAGGTTTTTTTTTCGCTCTTTCAAGGGGTGCAGCATTGCTGCTGCTTGCACCTGTCCCTTTCTCAAGGGGTGTGCCAGTTTCCAGCCTGGGACCAAGCTTCCCCTTTTTGAGGCTCTTAACCAGCTTGTCCTTCAGCTCCTGGAACCTGGCTTCATTTTGCCCTTTTGCAAGGGCTTTCCCTTTCTCAAGGGGTGACCCTTTTGCAAGGGCTTTGTTCCCTTTCTCAAGGGGTTTCCCTTTTGCAAGGGCTTCCTCCCCTTTTTCAAGGGGCTTGCCAGTGGACATCACCACCCTCTTGGCTTGCTTGGCAGCTCTTCTGGCTTGCCTAGCCCAAGAGGTGGTGCCCCCACCAGTCTTCCTTCCCTTGGAATTTCTCCAAGGCTCGTCCTCCTCCCACTCCTCCTCTTCTTCCTCCTCCTCCATGTCCACATCTTCCTTCTCCTTCTTCCTACTCATAGCTGCTAGGCTCAGAACCAAAAATGGCTGCAGGCAGGACATGTTCATGTGTTTAGTTTGCTTGTTTTAACAACTAAACATGTTTTGTTTGCTTTAGCATAGCATAGGAAAAGAGACAAAAACATATGGACAACAAACATGGCACTAAAGGAAATACAAGGAACACCCTTTTGCAAGGGCTACCCTTTTGCAAGGGGCAGGGTAGAGACAAACACATTCCCAGACTCCAAAACCATGTCAAAAACCAACCACAAAATCAATATAAAATATCGATTTTGGAGGCTTCAAAATCAATATAAAAATAGAGGAAAATGAGTATAAAAATCAAAGTGGATATCAATAGAAAGAGGCATTTGGTCCAACTTTTTATATTGATTTTGAAGCTTCAAAAGCATTAGTTTTATATTGATATTTATTTTGATTTTTTAGTAAAATCAATATCGATATTTTTTTTGGAAAAAATATTGATTGTAATCAATATCGGATGCTCAGGGAATGTACCCAAAAAAGAGATACCTTTCACATTTTTAAAATGGGAAATGTGATGATTGAACCCTTGGAATGGGACATTTCTCCCTTTCAAAAATCGGGGAGTTCATCATATTTGTTCCATGAATTTTGGGTCTCAACGAGAATGAGTCCGCCCAGCAAACTTGGCGTTGTTTGGCTGAAACAACCCATGGCAATCCATCAGTTCTGAGCCTTGTTAAGAGGAACGATGAAGATATGAATTACATTCTGGGAAAAAAACATGTTTCTCCAAATTGATAGTGGCTTCAGATGCCCCTGTAGGTTGTTCCAAACCCATGATGGAGAGATGGTAAGTAAACTTGGGTGCACCACAAGATAGTGCCAGATCCAAAGTGTTGCCAAACTATGTGAGCCAGTTGCGGGTTCAAGACCCATTCGCCAAACCCTGGTCCTAAGCAACTCGCCAAGACCTCAAATTCTTGGATGTTTGATGCAACAAGAAGGACACCAATGGTTTTCAGGTCCGGAAGTTCGAGACAATCAGTTCTGGGGCCGGGTATAGTTTTTTTTTTCGTGGTGAGCAGTTTTGGCATAAAGCGTCTGATAGATTCAGAGAGATTTTGTAATAACTATCCCCACTGTCATAGCTGAAATGCAAAGTTGCAATGTCTAATGGTAGACTTGGAAGCCAGCACGGCGTTGATTTTTGATAATGCAATATCGCCCATTGAAAACCCTTGGACGGATGATTTTCCTATAAAAAAGTGGAAATTCTGACTGCCAGGATGATCTCATATAAACCGTGAACCACCCGTCACTTTCAGAATACACAAATACTCATTCTTGGTGGTTAAAACCCCATTGATTGTAGTAAATCCAATGAGACACTTTGAAAATCTTTGAAATATGGCCATTAAATGCCATTTTTCATGAGTCTATTATGTGATATTATGTGATATTATGTGTATGGGATACGCAGCTATTTCGTGCTATTTCATCATCTCAATGTGCTGCCATGCCATGTAAATCGAGGCCACCGTGCAAGGATGCGGAGGGTTTGCTCCGCCCGGACCTCGAGACCAGCGGCGCGTGGCATTTTTGACTTTTCGATCCAGGTCCCAGGAAAGAGTTAAGTGTATGGAAATGTGTATGGGTCAATACCTATAGATACATTTTTAATGGGATGAACATCCATTTACCAGCTATTTTGGGGTTCACTAGGTACCAGGGTTTTGACTCATAGTCAAATCACCATTCAAGTAGGATTCCTAATTTTGATGATGATTTCTCTAGTTGGCAAAATCTTTTTTCGGGCTTTATTTTGCAATGTTTTAGTGGTGGCAACCTCTCAACACGCAGCATATCTGGCAGACTGCGGATGATCAGTCCAGCAGTTGACAATGATGGACTTGCTGTGCAACAAGAAAGAATGATCCCCAAAGTAGCTTGATCCCATACACAGCAGTTGGGTACTAGCTGTTACTAGCTCTAACCGAGTCCGTGATCCATTTGACTACATTTGGCACTCCACGATTTAGTACCATTTCAGTGTATCGCTGTTCAGCTGGTCTCAGGGAGATACAGAGGTATATCAAAACTCAACCCTCGAGATTCACAGATGTTGGTGAATGGTTGGGTCCACACATATTTTTTCCGTTGGAAGCCAAAACATCATTATAGATTTCATAATCTACCAAAAAAATCAGTGGAAACCCTTTGTGGTTCCTTTGGGGCCATTAAAATATATTGAAATCATGGTGGTAATTCCTGCCGCATGTCCATTGGAACCACAAAGTGAGGCTACGACTGCACGGTGGACGACACGGAAAGCCCTGTGAACTTCTGCATTTTCAGAGACTTCCAGGTGGGGAAAATGAACGGAAAGGAGCCTTTTTTGGAGCCCTTGTTGCCATGCACATCTCAGAACATCATTGGAATCATGGTTAATAAGGGGAATCATCGCAAAATGGCCTTATTTCAGGTTTGTGAATTATGATAATTTGCCCAGATTGTATTGACAGGGTCCTCAAGATTAGCAATGTGCTTTCTATGTCCTAGTCTAATTGGTAATACAAATCAGAACGAAATATATCCTCGTTGATTCGCACAAGGGCCGAATTCACTCTATATGAATACCTACCCAAGGTACAAGAGCACAAACTGGGACAAAATATGTAGTACTGTAATGTGCTGTATAGATTATGGATATAGTTCATCAATTAAAAAAAGATTATATATATATATCATGGCTGACCCACAATAAATATTGGTTGATTTTGTGGAAACCATCAGAAATGCCCTTAAATGCAATGTTTTTGATATCGACTCTAAGGATGCACAAAGATCTTCATCTCCCCCTCTACAAGCAGAGGATCACTCGAGTTAGGAACTAGTCATATTTTATGTGAACACCACATCTCGAAACCTCATTATAAATGAAGGGGACTTGGCAATCTGGGGTATTAACATGCATTAACCAGTTTCCAACTTTATTGTGGAGTAATTATACAGCACCTTTCTGTTTGGAGTTTAAATTTGTTTGATAGTTAAATCCAAATTTCTGATGGCTAAATAACCATTTTGGATTATCAAATCTCCATTTTTTTTGATGGTTGAAACCTAGTGTTGATGAAATTCCGTGTTCTTGGCTTGAAATTCCCATGTTTTTGTTGGATGATTATATAAATCATCTCGAAATCACAAATCCACCACTTTTTCCACATCCCCAATGACTTTTTGGGCCCTTTTTTGCGCATCCCAGCCCCAGGCGATGCCAACGTATCTCCTCGAGTTCACCACGGAGCTCCGAGGTCTGGCTGCTCAAACAGATGCAGACACGCCGTAGCTGGTCGCCCCAGAAATCTTGTTGCCATATCGGACTCATCGGACACCCTAAACCCAAAACATGCCAAAAGCCGAAGAAAAATCCGGTTTTGTCATTGGAGGTCGTGATCAAAGAACCATGACCACGCGGGCTTCGTGACGCGGAAGGGCTTCGCGACGTGGCAAGCGCTGTTCAAAATGAACAAACCATTTCGGCTTGGCTCAAGATGCGGACCAAAAAGATAGGGGTGTTGAACCACCAAAAAATGGGGAAGTTTGTGATAGGTATATCTACAGCATTCTGAAGCAAAGTATAAACTGATGGGTGGTTTCATACTGGTATTTGTTGAAAAGAACAGTACAAATAATCCAAAATGTCTGTTTCTGGGGTGAAACCAGCAATCAGAAAACGCAGGGTTCAGGTATTTAACATCAGCAATTTAGTAGCACTTTTGGTGGGTCTATTGGTACCCAATGTTTGAAGCAGACCCACTTGGGCATGGTTTTTCGGGAGTAAAAAACCAAGCAAATTGTTGGGGTATTTACGACTTAAGATGCTCAAACAGCTTTTGACAACCAACAAACTTGGATAACTGGAATGTGAGACGCAAGACATCCATGAAATCTTTGAATTGGTTTAAAGCAACAAGAAAACCCGATATTCGGATGGTTAAACCCTGGTATACTCCGGATTTTCCACATATATATATATAATACATAATCAATCAAAGTAATTTGCCAAATCAGTGACTCAGTGGGTTTTGGTTTGGACCGTTCAACTTTGAGCTACAGACCCAAATCATTGGTGTTCCAATCTTGCGAAATCTCATCGAAGGTCATGTCATCATGAGCCGCTACGACTTGGATAAATTGCCACCCAAGAAGAGGGAATAGGTTTCGTGTGTCATATCTTACCTACTAGTAGTTAGGGAATGATTTTTCAAAAAATGCATCCAAACAGCAGAAGCCTTTAGATCCATTTGATTCAGCGATATGGAGACCCTGGGATGTCCGATGATCCGATGACCACACCGCGTGGCTCCATCTTCGCAGCTGAATCAGACATTGCAACTTGAGGCATTCAAACACTGAATTCTTCGGTTTCAAACTGGTGACATCCATCTGTATTGGCCTTGCTTTGGGTGCCTCGTTCCCAGTGAAGCCTCTCTGATTGGGTTAAGGTCAATGGGTAGTCTTGTTTGCCACAAATACAGCAAAGAAAACATACCCTAGCTTGAGACGACCTTGTTTAGCAGGACATCATGGGTTTTTGCCATGCATCAGACACTTAAGGTAGTAAAGCTGATCTACCATTTTCATTTTTTCAAGGGTTGAAACTGAAACATTTAAAACTAGTAACATCTAAGCCAAGATCGTGACCAAGCCGGGAAACCCGTGACTGAACACATCACTGTGCCAGTGATTCTATGCCTCAGAAGCGCACCATGGTGTGGTGATTGGAGGCACCTTCGACGAACCACAAATAGAAAGTCAAAGATGTCAAACTGATCACAAAAAGAAACACAGGGGAGATCATCCAACTGAGTTTGGATCCTTTTCCAGTTTTTTTCAGGCGTGCTCAGCGTGCCATTGTAACATCACTGTAGCCAACGTCATTGGGAACATGTGGGATGTGTGGAGCAACCCGACTCATGGGAGAAATGAGGATAAACCGTCAAGTTTTGGGCTACTCTGTGTTCAGATTCTATATGATATGGATGAATGTGGCAAATACCACCAAAAATAGACCCAAAATGAACATGCAATGGAGATACAATGGGATATATATATATATATAGTCAACACTATGATTGTGGGTTTGCGGCCTCACTGGCATGGCGAGCTATTTCCACTTTGGCAATTATTATGACCGCAAATACTTGGGAAGACTTGGGATTTAGCCGGCAAACGTGGACATCATCAACAAACATAATATCATAAATAATGACAATAGGTCAAGATTCAAGGTTTTTGGTCTGGGTTAAATTTGGTTGCCCTAAGCATGTCTATGGTCTATTCCTGAAGCTGGCAATATCAACACTACGCTGACGCTACCTGTTTCAACATCAAATGAAGTCCAAACAAATCAACAGATGATCTGGGAATTTGCACAACTATCTTTCTTTGGTGCTTCTGACCACCAAATTTCACATATTTATGATGATAACTTGTCACTTGTCGAAGCATCCATCTTTTGGCCGCAAAATGGGTCATTGTGCTGGATTCCTCAATCTAGTCGATATAGGCATGGTATCCACCATGAAAACCATGTTCTCCAGACCCATTTACGGGTGCGTCTCGAAAAGTTGCATACCCCTTGAGATGGCCATATTCTGAAAGACAAAACAAGTTTGTCTTAAAGTGGGTTGTACCACAAATTATGTCTATCAATGAGTAGGGCAAATGCTGATGAACCATGATGACCCAGTGGATTTCGGAATATTTCTGAGGTTTCCCATGGCCCATAGATTGTCAGACAAACCCAGAGTGAAAATCTCAGGAAATGATCAGAACACCTGCGGATTTGGCGCGCGTAGACTCCAGGCACTCCACGATGTTTGGTTGGCCAAGGGCACCACCAGGCCTTGCGGATGTGGAAGGTCTGGTGAATGGTAGGAGGCAACTTCACGCGTAGCTCTGAATAGTTAATAGTTATTTTCATGAGGAGTATAGTCCTTCCCCGCTGAAAACGGTCTTTCTTCCTTGCTTTGAAGTGTCTATAGTAGACGGATATAGACGGATATGTTTTTTTCTGTGTGTGTGTGCTTTCTCCAGTTCCTTTCATGACCTTTGCTAAATTCCAAAGCCATCAATGCATGCATCAAGCCTATAGCCGTCAACAATTCTTAAGTGGGAGAACAATGACCACTACCATAGTACTATTTATCATTGGCTCCTTTGGCACCCATTACTGTTGCAGGCTATGGCCAGACGCCGGGTCCGCCCGCCTTTCCGCCCAACCTGGGTCCAATGGGCACACAGCTGCCGCCCCAGATGCCGCACTTAGGGCAGCCTTATCCATTGCCCACCTCGCTTGGAGGCCCTGTGCCCATGGGTGCCCCTGGTCTCAGACCCTTTCCTCAGCTGGCAGCGCCACACCTGGTGCCAGGGGTGGCTTATCCGACACATCAAGCGTTACCCCAGCCTGTGCTGCCACTTCCCCAAACACCACAACAGCCACTTCCACAAGCATCCCAACCGCCGCTCCCCCAAACACCACAACCACCGCTCCCCCAAACACCTCAACCGCCACTTCCCCAAACACCACAACCGCCCATCCCCCAAACACCACAACCGCCGCTCCCCCAAACACCACAACCGCCGCTCCCCCAAACACAACCGCCGCTCCCACAAACACCACAACCGCCACCTCCACAAACACCCCAACCCCCACCACCCCAAGCACCTCAACCGCAAGCCTCTAGTGCCAAAGATTGCACAGAGGGCGCCGCCAACGGGGAACGGTAGGGATCCTCAGACATGTGAGTTGGCAAAGCCTGGGAGTTTTGAGATACAGAGTGCTGCATCAGGGCAAAAGAATTCCAAAGATGCAGCAGCTTGTGAGTCAACATCACCGTTGTCATCGTCATCCTCATCCATCTCATCCATCTCATCCATCATATCCACCACCACCACCATCATCATCATCATCACCATCATCATCATCGTCATCGTCATCCTCATCATCATCACCATCATCGTCGTCGTCGTCGTCGTCATCATCATCATCATCATCGTCATCGCCATCGCCATCGTCATCGTCATCGTCATTGTCATCCTCATCATCATCACCATCACCATATTCATCATCATCACCATCATCCAGCACCATCATCCATCATTATCACCACCACCATCATCATAATCATCATCATCATCACCATCACCATCACCATATTCATCATCATCACCATCATCCAGCACCATCATCCATCATTATCACCACCATCAACATCATCACATCATAAAAATAATCGTAATCATCATCATCATCATCAGCAGCAGCAGCATCGTCATCGTCATCGCCATCGTCACCATCACCATCATCCAGTACCATCATCCATCATTATCACCACCACCACCACCACCACAATCATCATCATCATCATCATCATCGTCATCATCATCGTCATCATCACCATCATCATCATCGTCATCCAGCACCATCATCCATCATTACCACCATCATTATCATCACCATCACCATCATCATCATCATAACCATCATCATCATCATCATCATCATCATCACCATCACCATCACCATCACCATCACCATCATCCAGCACCATCATCCATCATTATCACCACCATCATCATCATAACCATCATCAGCAGCAGCGGCATCGTCATCGTCATCGTCATCGTCATCGTCGTCATCATCATCATCATCATCATCATCATCATCGACATCCAGCACCATCATCCATCATTATCACCACCATCATCATCATCATCATCATCACAACCATCATCCATCATCATCATCATCATCACCATCACCATCATCATCATCATAACCATCATCATCATCATCATCATCATCACCATCACCATCACCATCACCGTCATCCAGCACCATCATCCATCATTATCACCACCATCATCATAATCATCATCATCATCATCATCGTCATCGTCATCGTCATCGTCACATAATTGTTACAGCCATACGATGACCATTCAAGTCACCCCTGGGCATCGACCCAGTTGAGTTAACCCGTGAAGCACTACGGGATTGTGTCAACAGGGATGAGCTCCGATTCACTGGGGCGGATGCCAGGGCAACATCCTGGTGAAAGACCAAGTTTTCCGAAACCCAGAAAGTGGAAATAAATGGTTGATGAATTTAGGCTATGTCCCCCAAGTTCTTCGCATTCTATACATAAACAGACATATCATTCATCTCTATATATATACACAATTATTTATATATATATATACACAATTATATATATACACATATATACATATATACACATATATATATATATATATATAATTATTGTAGGTCGTCCTTCCTGTACAGAGTAACAATCCAGTTCACAACAATATTCTGATTGCAGGAATCATCCCAGATGACTTTCCTCCAAGGCCAAAGCGCTCATTCGATACCGTTAACGAGGCAAGACAGGTGGCCGGGTGAAATCACACAGTTTAGACCCATTGGATGTTGGAATCCCATTAAAAAACCATTAAGTTTCCTTGCGAAATGAAAAAGCATCATACAACATATCTTACTGTTGCCCATAAAACTAGCATGTTTGTGGCTTGACTCCACATGTTTCTTGGTGAAATCTTCCTTTGCGTCAATCAAATCCCCATTTTTGCTGGTGAAATCCCAAGTTGTTCTGTTGTCCACTCCAGGTCCTGTTCCTGAAATCCATGTTCAACTCCTGTTTCGCCGATACTTTTCCCATCGTTTCCCTATATTTCGCTTGGGAAGCCCGGTAGTTTCCATCTTGCCCTGGAAAAAAGTTTCCCCCCCAGGCGCAAAGGCGTGCAGAGGAAGCCCGGCGCAAGATGGAGGAGGCGATCCGCACCTCACTGCGACCAATGATGGTTAAAAAGGGGCGGAATTATATGTATAATATGGTATAATGATGGTATAATATGGTCCAATATGGTATAATATGGTATAATATGTTATATGTTATGCCAATATGGTATAATATGGTCCAGCGTTTCAGGTGAATGATTCCAAAAACAAATTGCCCAGAATCCATCCCCCTTAACAGGGTGATGAAGGAATTCTCGCCCCAAGATCCTGAAAATCGCTCATCCCATCTTCCCAACATCAAGCACTCCGCCAGAAACTATGACTTTGTGTAGGGTGTGAACCCACATATTTGGGACCGCACAATGGGGTGTCATATTTTTTGGGAATTGGGATCAATCATTAATTATAATATTCATTAATCAAATTCCCCCCGAACATCGGAACAGGGTTGCTCCAACCCGTTCTAGGTAAATTATAGCCACAAGGCAGGATACATTTGATGATTTTATCTAATATCTGAATGGCACATGTTTAGTTTCTATACATCTTACAAGGTGGTGCCCTGGTTTGTCGTATAAGTAAGTTGGTACACATGTTGATTTCACCAGGTAAGAACATTGGGATTCGACTTTTGAAAAGTAAGGATCTGACCAGCAAAAAGAGAAACTCTTGAGCCAACAAACATGTCGAGTTTTCAACCAGAATGAGGAATTCCGGAAGAGACCGGTTTGCGGCAAGAATGGCTTCGTGCAAACTCGGCTATTCTTCGGTTCTTTCCTCGTTCAAAAGTTTCGTGCGTGGCCAGGGAAAGTAACAATAAAGCTGATGATTTCATCAACCAATGGATTTGTTTGTGGATTGCGATGGATTTTTCCGAGGATCCCAATGGATATGATAGACAATTATATTTAAATTGCACTATATATATATTGAATTATATATATATATATATAGCATTATATATATATATGTTGCATTATATATATTATTGCATTATATATATATGTGTGCATTTGATGGATTTTAAGGACTTTGATGATGATTGCGTGGATGATTGAGGGATAGTCATAGGTTTTGCCCAGGATTTACACCATAGATATCCATCCCAAAACGTTCCAGGAGCAGCGACGAGCCAAGGAGGCCGGTGCAGGCGCGATACGAACTCGTTGTTTGCTTGTTTGGGATGATGAACCCCCGAGCCAGTAATTGAATGACGGCCTATATACCTACATACATACATACAAACAAACATACATACATGCATACAAACATACATACATACATAGATACAGACATACAGACATACAGACATACAGACATACAGACATACATACATGACAGAAAGACAGACAGTCAGACAGTCAGACAGACATACATACATACAGACATACAGACATACAGGCGTACAGACATACAGACATACAAAAATACAGGCATACAGGCATACAGACATACAGACATACAGACATACATATATACATACATATATATACATACATACATACATGCATGCATACATACATACATACATAGATACATAGATACATAGATACATACATACATACATACACACATACATGCATACATACATACAGACAGACAGACAGTCAGACAGACATACATACATACATAGATACATACATACAGACAGACAGACAGAAAGACATACAGACAGACAGAAAGACAGACAGACATACAGACATACATACATACACACAGAGACATACATACATACATATACATACATACATACACACAGAGGCATACATACATACATGCATGCATGCATACATACATACAGACAGACAGACCTACAGACCTACAGACCTACAGACCTACAGACCTACAGACCTACAGACCTACAGGCCTACAGACCTACAGACCTACAGACCTACAGTCCTACAGACCTACAGTCCTACAGACCTACAGACCTACAGACATACAGACATATAGACATCCAGACATCCAGACATCCAGACATCGCATGCACATACATTCATGCATACATATGTTTGTATACACATTTGTATGTGTATATATATATATATGTACACATGCTGGCCTGCTGCCTGCTAACAAGTAGTGTGTCTTTGTTCAGGGTATCTAAGATATTCTAAGATATGTATATATATATATAAGTTTCTCCAATTTGCCATGGTCTTGGGTCAAGTCATTCGGTCATGCAAAAAGTCATAGCATGGTTTGAAGGAAACATGATGATGTAGCAGAGATGATCACATCATCGGCACATATTAAAATAGCTGATGGATGCAGGATGTGGTGACGTCTGGCTCCGTGATCGGGGAGTTGCTAGATTTGGTTGCATAGGAAAACTCTATGTTGCATGATAGTATTTCATGGCATTTTAACGTATTTCACAGTATTTCATCGCATTTCCTGTTCAACAAAAAAGATACAGTCAATCCATGGCCGAGAGTTTCCGGAGGATCCTTTGGAGTTGGCCGTGCTGAAGCTGAAAAATAGAGTTTCATCAGTTTCAGATGATTCTTTGGAGTTTCTTGAAAAACATGGTACCAGACTCCTGGAGTGAATGTCCAGTTTTTTGTTGGTTCCATCTGAGTTTTTTTTGATTTGTGGGAAATGTTGTGGGCAGTTTTAACATGTTTTACTATTTCCCTACTCTATTCATCTCCCTAGTTTCCGTCCCTGCTTGGCTTAATAGATGAAGATGATGACGATGATGATGATGATGTAGATGTAGATGTTCTACTGGAGTTAGGTTGCAAATGGGGTATAGCTCCCCCAAAATGGGATCAACATGGTAAGTTCCAAAGGAAAAAAACTGGTGGTCAACCAGTGGATTGAGATGGTTTTTTATAGGTTTTTGATGGTTTTTCCCACAAATTGCCGGAGAACCTCAATGGTCGAACGAGTCTAACATGGGTTGAAGCCCGCAGCGCCATGGTTTCTTTTTTTCGGCTGATCGATTGATCGGCAGGCGAGTCCAGACCACCGCCTACGGAGGAGGACCCGGCATTCAGAAAGTCATGAGAGATTTGGGATTTTATCTATTGGAAATCCAAGGGAAAATTGGTGAAAAATGGGAATTCTATGGAAAAAAATGGAAATTGAGGGCCATCAAAACTTCTGAGAAAATTAAGGGTAGAAATTACAACTTGCGGGTGACATGTCTGAGAAATTTGGGATAGACATGACAGTTGGCCGTTTTTATAAGCGAGCCTGCAAGGTATGGAACATGGTTCCCTATTTTAGGAAACCTCCAAGTTGCTCTATAATTAGGCTAACCAGATGGGTTTATGTGGAACATGTCTGCAAGTAACTGGGGTTCCAACAAACATCACTGGGGGGCACCGCCTCGCCGCCTTGCAGCAAGGATGACAGAACAAAAATGGAGGACTCAACTGGTCAAGATAATGAAATTTGATGAAATTTGAAGTCCCAATTTCAGGGTCAGCTTTGCAACATAGGGAAACGATCCCATGTTTGGATGCCAATTGTGGCCCGTGCCCCCTGGATCTTGTTAGGACCATCAGAAAGATGCCAATGTTTAATGATGTTCCTCCACTTTCCACATCCAAAAGCAGACAAAAACAAGACCAAAGACATCCACTCCATGCCGGTTGGCTCCGGAGAGTTTTCGTTCAACCATAGAATGTGGATGATGATCCCCAGTAATTACCCTCCGGTCATCAAACATGGCGTGCTGGAAAGTCCCTGCTTTAGTTCGATGATTTTCCCAGCCAGAAACTTGCATTCAGGTCAGGGATTTCCCAGGTAGCCACGTAGCTGATTCCCAAAGGGCAAAATTTGATATCCCGTTCGTATCCCTACAAATTTACCATTACTTAAATTAGGCTTAAGTTGATGGTTAAGCCTCCATTTTTAGGCTCCTTTGAAACTCCAGTGGGGCTTGAAACTCCTTAACCATTTGTTTTCATGTGATATCCCATTACATTATCATTACATCCCCATTAGACCACCATTTTCTTGGCTTGAAACCTCCAAGCAGATGGTTTTCCGCAGGACCTCTTGCAGTTCCAGGTCTGGCTGTCGCGCTTTCCTTCCTTGGACTCCAAAGCTCACAACGCCGGGGGGCCGAAGAAAACCATTGAAAAACCACCCGGAAAAATTGGAAACGGTGCTTTCCTAGTGAAGAATCCCTACAACAAAGGTTTTTCAGGAAAAGGGTGAAGCCTTTCATCATGTTGATGAGATTTTAACCTATGTTAACCTATATTAACATATATTAACCCTATGATTTTAGCCTATAATGACCCTATGATTTTTACCTATAATGACATAGGTTTTAAAATCCCCCACTCTATCATTTCATCGCTCCGAGGCCTTGGAAAGCTTAGATCCGCGGGATGCGGTGAAAGCCTTGCAAGACGGGCGGTTGCGGGCGACGTGTTTTGTTGCAGAAAAATGGGTGAAAGAATATGAAGTAAGATGCACTCGATGCTTTGGAGAAACTAGCTATTCCTTTGAATGAGAGACATTGTTTTAATATATATATTTTATAAACCTAATTTAGCCATGCATACCCTGGCGCACCAAATCCGGGGACACCATTCTCAGCGATCATGCGATCATCTCCCAGTGGGTCAAAACTCAGGCAGAGTCATAATGTGAAACCAATAATAAACCTATATAAACATATATATATATATGATATATATTTTTTCCATACTGCAACTAGTAGCGTCTCGCGCTGCGGCAGGGCTAATGAATTCGGTTTAACTGAGGCTCATACCGCACAGTCCGGTCCATAGGCCATGCCAAAGTCCATGCTCGTGAGGGCTGAGCACATGGCCAAAAATGCGGCACGTTCTGTACATTCTGTGCTGTGCACGCTTGGATCTGTGTCTGTATAATATCATATAATATATATATATATATAAACCTCTAATTTTGGATGGTTTCTACCACCCATTTCTGGTCATGGCGATGGATCGCAGCCAGGAGCTCGACCAAAAGCCGGGCATTCGGAATCCCTCCGTGTGGGAGCCAAGAGTCATCCCCTGCGATCGGGATTTTGGGGTGTCCTATTTCTGGTTGGTGGTTTCAACCCCTCTGAACAATATTAGTCAGTTGGGATTATGATTCCCAATATATGGAAAATTAAAAAATGTTGCAAACTACCAACCAGTATATATACAGTATATATTGATGTACCCTCTGGTTATATGTCAAGATAGCGATTGAAAATGGCCATTGAAATAATGGATTTACCCAGCTAACTATGAAATGGTGATTTCCCATAGTTATGTGAGTTTGCCAGAGGGTACCCCCAATGGTTGAGACACCTTCCGGCTTCCGCTGATGTGGTATTCATCGGATGGGCTCTAAATGGATTGAAGCTCTGCACTGGGTTGAATGTGGTTGAACGGATATGGCTACCTGAAAGCTCTCTGCAGAAGGAAAATAATCTACAAACTGGGCATGAGGAAGCAATCTATCCAGCCATCCATCCATCCATCCATCCGTATATCTATCTTTCTATCCATCCATCCAATCTATCCATCTATCTATTATCTATCTATCTATCTATCTATCTATCTATCTACCTATCTATCTATCTAATTAATCTATCTAATCTATCTAATCTATCTATCTATCTATCTATCCATCCATCCATCCATCCATCCATCCATCCATCCATCTGCCTATCTATCTGCCCATCTATCCATCTGTGCATCTACCTACCTACCTATCCACGTGTCCGTCCATGCATCTATCTAGCTAGCTATGTATATGAGTATGTATGTAAATATAAACACGCACATATATATATATGGATAGATGGATAGATGGATAGATAGATGGATAGAAAGATAGATAGGTAGATAGCTGGCTGGATAGATAGATAGATATATGGATGGATGGGTGGATGGATGGATAGATGGATAGATGGATAGATAGATGGATGGATAGATGGATAGATTGATAGATGGATGGATGGATGGATAGATGGATAGATATGTGGATGGATGGATGGATGGATGGATAGATGGATAGATAGATAGATATATGGATGGATGGATGGATGGATGGATGGATGGATGGCTGGATATATGGATAGATGGATAGATGGATAGATGGATAGATATGGATGGATGGCTGGCTGGATGGATAGATGGATAGATGGATGGATGGATGGATACATGGATAGATTGATAGATTGATAGATGGACAGATAGGTTGATAGATTAGATTAGAGCAGAGTAGATTAGATAGATGGATGGCTGGATGGATGAATAGATGGATAGATAGATATATAGATGGATGGATGGATAGATGGATGGATAGATAGATAGGTAGATATACAGATGGATGGACGGATAGATGGATAGATAGATAGATATACAGATGGATGGATGGATGGATGGCTGGATAGATGGATAGATAGATATATAGATGGATGGATGGATGGATAGATAGATGGATAGACAAATAGATAGATAGATACATAGAGTTGCTGTTCAGTTTCGGACTAGCAATCCGTCAGACCTTGATTGCGGCAATTCCATCAACCCACACGGTTCATCTGTGTAAAGAACAAAGATATCTTCTATTGAACATGCGTTTGGCATGTTCACCGATATTTTAATATGTCTATATTTCATTATATATATTTCATCCTACACGATTTTTCTTACATTTTATTTATCCGTGTGTCCATGTGTCCATCTATCTATTTTTGCATTTACAAATACATCCATCGATCGATCTATCGATCTACCTATCTCCCCGTCCATCTATCAGTGTGTCCATCTATATATATCCGTTTATCCTGTCCGTCTGGCCATCTATCCACCCATCCATCTATCTATCTATCTATCAATCAATCTATCTATCTATCTAGCAAGTTGTCTACGTGTATGTGTATACAGTCTGATTGTTGGCTACTCTGTTTTGATTGTGTGTGTGCGTTCTTTTCCAAATTTGGCCACTTACATCACCATGATAGAAGTATATGACTCATCTCGGCCATGATTGCCCACTTTCTGCCGAGAGGTTTGGCTCCCTCTGAGGCTTGGGTGTGTAAAACCGCCCAAAATGTTCGTGAAAGGCGGGGGGAAGGCAGTGGGTTGATCTGAAGTCAGTGCGATGAAGCCCCCAGGGCCCCAGCACTTCAGAATTTTCTCCTTTGATGAAGAAGATCCTCCCATCAAAAAACGGTTTTATTTGGAAACAGGATATCCATGGATATCCCAATTCATGGCCAATTGTTCTGGACAAATGATTATGAACCAAAAGATTTTAATTGAACATGAGTATATTAATCCAGTGATTGTTTAATTGAACATGAATTCCATTGGTAAAGCATATAAGCAATGATGACAGATGATGAACTATGATGAACTATGATGGACTAGTGATTTTTAAGGGTATATTTCCTATATATATATATACATATCCATGTATATCCTATAAATTGAGACAACCCCAAATTGTTCCGCTATTTTCCGTCGCCGCCCAACTTGCGAGGACTGGTGGCAAAGCTCCGCCAAACAGCGAGGACTCATTGGGACCACGTGGACCACGTGGACCACACCACGCCATGTGGACGAATCGGCAGGGGAAGTAATGATTTGGAGGTTTCCATTACCACCTGGCTATGACTAACAGTTTGCCATGGAAGATCAATGGGAATTTCAGGATCCTAAAATGGAGGTACTCTACCATATAAGGCCATATGTTGTGGTGATATTCCCTTACATAGGCCTTATATAGGCCTTATATATGGTAAGTACCTCCAATTTAGGTTCCTGAAATGGCCATTGAAAAGATCCACCAATTCTTAATAGGTAAACCATGGTAAACCATCTATTTCTATGGGCCATCTATACCATGGCGAACTGTTAGTCATAACCAGAGGGTAAGGATCCCCAAAATGGATCAAAATGGTTGGTTTATAATGGAAAATCCTAAAAACAATGGATAATATTGGTGGGTACCCGGGTACTCACATTTTAGGAAGCCTCCATCTGTTGTAGAATAGCGCAAAAAAAAGGAAACCTCTCACAACATCCTTTTGGTCTATTGCATGTTTCTATTTTGCAATCACAGTACAAGTAAAATGGTTGCATGCTAATATGATTGTGCATTGATTAAATTGATTATGATTATATAGTCTATAGAGATATTACCAGCAAAGCCAGCAATTCAGCTGGAAACATGTGTCCTTTAACACTGAAATATTTTGCGGGGAGGTCAAACCAGCCAGTACAGTATTCTCCCGTATTGGACGATGTACCATCATGAACCAGTATCTGAAGGGAATATGTTTAAACCACCAAAGAAGAGTGTTTGTTCTTGTTGTTTTTTGGTAGAGAAAACAAGTCAGCGCTTCGGATTTGGTACTTTTGTTGCCATTGATCCAGGGGTAGATTCCGGTCACTCTGCAGGAAAAGTCTGCAGACAAAAAGGATCTGGACATCGTCGACCACTATGGAGCGTTCCTGGGCTCTGCGGAGGGATTGTGTCAGATTGTGTCAGAGAAATAGCCATCTAAGTGACCAAGTAAACTACACAAACCCTCATCCTCCGCATCCTCCTCATCCTCATCGCCCTTATGATCCTCCGTATCCTCATCGTCCTCATCCTTGTCATCATGAGACCAATGATCACAGATATCGCAGGTGTCAGGCAGAACCTACAGTTCATCATGGAACTATTGTGTGGTCAAGGCATCCAATGTTATCGGGATGATTGGGTCGGCTTGCCAAGCTTCAGCCATCACGAACTGCACGGGAAAATATTCCCAGATTCTGTTCATAATTCAAGTGTGCGACCAACTTGAAAGGTATGCAGAGCAATATTTGCAAACAACAATATAATGATCAGTGACGGTGATGGTGATGTTGATGATGATGATGATGATGAGGATGAGGATGACGATGACGATGTAAGTTTTTCCACAGTTCCTAATCATCTAAGCACTGTTGGAAGGATCCTGATATTAAATTGCCATTGTCAGGTCATTTTCGATACTTTAAAGCCTTTCGTTTACCACGAATTTCCCCATGAAAATTGTCATAAAATTGAGCACCTCCCATTTGTGAGCATGGGTCTGGGTCAAAATGAGTACCTCAATAATTGGACGATTCTTGGATGCTTCCTATAAAATTGACCAGATCTGCATGCAGTGCGGGACACCGGGGCTTTTAATTTTGACCTACCCCGTCCCAATATATGCCATACGGCTCCGGAATAGCGATCTTGGCTGCTGAACCTTAGGTTGGAGGTGGCCGAAGATGCAGATGAGAAAGACATCAAGAAAGCCTACAGGACTTGGGCTGCGATATCACCGACCAAACCTGCAGACATCATGGTTAGTATTAGAAATAGCCTGACACGTGGCCTCTGAGGCTTCCGGTTAGACGATAGGGATTCAACCAGGTCCCCCATTAGGTGAAGCCCCGATTTTTCGGGGCCTGAAAGGAGGGGGTTTGATCCACCAAAAACCACGGAGGGCGTACTAACCATCCATTACCCGGGGATCATCGAAATGGGTGGGTCTTTTGACCCACAAAAACGCAGACCTATCCACAATGCCAGCGGATAGTGAAGGTTATTCGTTATTGATACCCTCCCGTAATCAAACGTGGCAATGGACAATCCACCAATTTAGAACATGTTCCCATTCAAACCTCGATGACCGGAGAATAATTGTTGGGAGCCACTGACAAACATGTGATTGGTTGAGGTGTCAGGCATCGGCCGGTGCAGGAAGCTGGTTCTGAAGTGGCACCCGGACAAACATCCTGAAGGCACCGGTTGGAGATCCATTGGTCAACTTGCGTGCATGTGCTATGTGAAAATTCGTTGGTATGTGGCCAAAGAAATAGTAGAGAAACACGATGCTTCACCGAGAAACTTAAAGTCGTGTGCTGGATGCTGGGGTATGGGAGTGTTTTTTCAGCTGCAAATGGAATCTCTTGTCATGTAGATAGTATATAAGATAATTATGTCACTTTAAAATGAAGGTCTTGTCTGAAAACTCCAATCTCCTTCTGTTTAATCACTATGTTCCCGATGAATCCCGATGAAATGACCATAACTGGGGGTATACTAACATGTACTAACCACTTTTCAGAAAGAGAAAAAAACTGTACCCATGGTATCCCATAGTTGTGGCCCTTTTTATGGTCCCAAATATTGAACCATGGTTTATGGGTGGGTGTTCAATATTATGATAATAGCCATTGAATCCAATGAATTTCATCCCATTAAGCCCCTATTTGTTACCCTCTGGTTATTTAACACAGCTATGGGACATGGCCCATAGAAATAGATGATTTATGATGATTTACCTTTTTAAAAATGGTGATTTCCCAGTTCGCTACGTTAAATAACCAAAGGGTAATTGTCATATAAGCATCCACTATTCCATTGTTGGTGTTTACTATGAAGGGATTACTGTCACTGGCCAGACAAGTCCAGCCACAAGGCCGAGAAGAAGCGGAGGAGAAGATCAGGGCCATTAACAATGCCTACGTGGCTTGCTTGCCAGTTGTTGATGTATTCTTCATGCCTACTGAGCGTTTCCCAACCAAGCGATATCAAGTTTACCACTATTTTCGTTGGGTTTCATAGTTCTTGAGAATTTGTGCAGCTGAAAGGTATGTAAATATTCCAGCACCATGGAGAATCTGGGGGAAGATTCCAGCTGTGATTTTCTGACATTCTGACATGGCTTGCTGCAGTCTTACAGATTTAATACATTGTTGGAAGAGAGAGAGAGAGAGATATATATATATATATATACATGGTTACGCAAGGCTTTTCCTATCAAGTCACTTGCAATTTGTGTTTAGCTTGTCCAGCAGTGGTGGAAGAGTCTGTGTGCGTCCACTTGTCTCTGTCGGCAATTGTCATGAGGACCTCTGCTTGTTTTCTATGAGACCTCATTCTTATTTGCTGGGTGGTGTCAAATATGTGTCCCTTCTCCATCCCCATTTGAGTTTGTCGAGATTATTCACCTGTTTTGGATATGGCAATGACACTTTGAGTTGACACTTTCATTACCTCATGCCTTAGCCATCTCTAGCCTCATTTCGCCCTGCAATGATTACCCGCTGTTGATGGAAAAGAGTGCATTCTCCGCCAGCACCTTGCGTTTTGTCAGTGGTACTCGGAGCCCTTGGTAGCCAGGGAATGTCTCAATCACCTGAAGGTGGGGAACAGCGGCAGGGCGAAGTGAGGGAAGATAGCCCGGGCTTTGCATCAGCTGCGGACGCGCAGCAGGAGTGGTCGGAGGAGGACTGGAGGGTTTGGAATGAAGGACGTTGGGTAGATCCTTCAAACCCAGACCATAGAACCAGTTGGGAATCCAGAGTGAGGCCTTATGGTGGCCAATGGGATCAGTGGCAGTCAGGATGGTGGGAGAAAGGAACTTACAAAGGAGATTTTAGCGACCCCCCACAGTGGAGTGGATGGCAGCACTATAGGCTTTGGAAAAGAGCCTTGACCAGGTGGAACGATAATACTGACGTGATCTTGAAGAGAAGAGGTGAGAAGATCATGAAGACTTTTGACTGGAACCTCCAAGCTAGGTTGGACCACTTGTCAGACCAGTCATTGCAGTCACCCAGGTACCTGCAACACATCTTCTCAGTCCTCGACGTTTTGGCCGGGGAGAAGGAAGAGTCCGAGAAACGAAGAGTGGTGCGAGCGGCCTTGTACGAGGGACCGCAAGGCCGATGAAACTCTGGCACAATACTCTTTGAGGAGAGACTCGCGGTTCGCCATGGCTTCTCAGTTTGTCGACATACCAGACGACCTTAAGGCCTTCATGCTGGAAGAGCAAGCTGGGTTGTCGCGCCAGAATCTTCAGAACCTACGAGTCCTCACCGGGGGCGAACAGAGCTTCACCAAGGTTGTCCGAGCGCTTCAAGTGCTCGACGTCGATGACGAGCCCATCATGAAGTCCAAGGGGCAGAGCTACTTGGAAGAGAACCAGGGCACCTCCTATTTCCTTGAGGATGACGACGCGTCTGAAGATGACGACGACTTTGAGGAGGTCGAGATTCATGCCTTCCTGTACCAGGTGCAGCAGAAGGACTTCAACGAGGAGCAAGCTCTTTCCTTCCTAGCAGACTGGGAGGGCAAGCGCAAGAGGACTTGGGCCGAGAATAAGGCTCTCAAAAGTGCTCGAAAGAAGGACAGGAGGCACTTCGAAGACTCCTCTTCCAGATCGGTCCGTCCGACTGGCTTCAAGCGCAAGCTTCCCATTGCAGAGCTCAAGAAGATCACACGTTGTGCAAACTGTGGCATGAAAGGCCATTGGAAGGAAGATTGCACGTCGCCTTTCAAGCCCAAGAACGACAAGAAGGAGGTCGCGGCGAATGCCTTTGTCTTCCTTGGGGGCCATTCGTCTTCGCTCACAAGGACTGGCACTTCCCATGCGACGTGGCTCAACTTCTTCAATTTCCTTGCCGTGCCTCCCGGCTGTGCTATCATAGACCCGGGTGCCTCCCAGGACTTGATCGGCAAGAATGCGTTCGAGAAGCTGAGTGCCGAGCTCCAGAAGTGCGGCCTGCAGCCTGTGATCTTGAAGGAACCACCGCCAGCAGCTTCGGGGATTGGCGGAAGTGCTAAGCCGTTGTTCGTGGCCCTGACCCCGTGCTTCTTGGGCGGCTTTCCTGGGATAGTACGTTTGGTTGTGATCAATGAAGATGTACCGCAGCTCTTGTCCATCGGCCTCTTAGAGCATGCCGGGGCAATGATAGACACAAAGAAGAACAAGATCACTTTCCAGAATTTTGATGTCCAAACGGAGATGGCTCGACTGGATTCCGGTCACAGAATTTTGAATATAGTTCAGGGAGCTCGTCATTTTGACATTCCTCCCCAGGTGCTGGCTGATTATGGGCTAGAGCCCGATGCGTTTCACTTCAAACACCCAATCATCAGCGAGGCATATATGGCAGCTCAGAGCGTTTTGTTCGAAGTTTTTTCATGTTCTGAATTTGGTATCAAGTTGTTTTGTGGTAGTGAGTCATTTGAAAAGAAAGCACTTGCAGTCGACCCTGGAGTTTTTGTTTCAGTGGGTTCAGTGTCGGCCGGAACTTGCACCCTCATGTGTAGTGATGTTAGATATGACCAGATGTGCTTCGAAACAAACGTTGGTTCAAACGGCAGTGATGGCATTGGAAACAGAAACGATCAGACGTGCCTCAAAACAAACGCCAGTTTGAATTGCCAGAGTGTTACTGACCATGAGAAGTTTAGCAATCTTGAGGATGCTCACATGGGTTTTACGTTTGTGTTGGTTTCAGAACAACCTGTTGTTGATTTTGGTTTGGGTAGAAAAACTGAAGTCATAGAGCGCCTGGTCGTGGAAAGCAAGTTTGAATCCAAGAACTCGAGCAGAAACCTTCGCCGACCCAGCAGACCTCTGATGCTCAGCTTTCTTTTGCTCTGCTTTTTCAATTCGTTCCTGGTCAGCCATGGAATCCATCATGCCCCCACCACAGGGTCCTGGTCGGAAGAGGCGAAGCCAGATGGAGCAAGAGCGCCTCCAGTCCAAGTGGTTTTCGATGACGTCAAGGCTGCTACTCATGACTCGGGGTACGTTCAGCCTGAAGTTGACGCCTCACACGGGCGTGAGTTGCTCACACCCAAAGGGATATCTGGCTCGTGGGGCCAACCAATATGGCCGTTGGGTCAAGTGCACTCTTTGCCGGGAGAAGTTGGACTTCGACCGATACTCCGAGCGCAACCCAAAGACCCAGGCCAAGAAGCCAGTTCGTATGACTATGCTTCAGGACGAAGACCAAGTTGCCAAGAACAAGGAGCTGGCTGGCTATGTGAAGGAGTCTCTCAAGACTCCCAAGAATCCGGAGTTCGTGACTCGACAGGAGATGAAGTCCTTGATGAGCGGGCAATCTCAGCAGATCACCTCGAATCTCGCTCAGGCATTGGGTCCCATGCTGCAGGAACAGCAGATGATGCAGCAGCAAATGATGATGGCGCTGCAATCACGTGCCAGCGGGTCCCATGCAGCCGCAAGCCAGATGCCAATCCAGCCTCATCATCATCACGACCTGACCGAGAACGACAGCTGGGACGACGTCATGGGGAACCCCAACGAGTGGGAGACTCAACAAGGCAACTGAGCTCTTTGGCATCACATGTGCCGTATAACTCAGAGGCTTCTGAGGATCTTGAGCTTAGTTTGCAGCATTGGTTTGTCCTCCCCTTTTGGGCGGCGCAGAAGGTAGAGTCATTTCGTAGCAGTGATTTTCGCTTTTGTTGGAACCCGGTCGGCAGTGTTGATGTTTTTTGTGTTTGGCATTCCCCTCAGTTATTTGTTTCTCTGATGGCTGCGAATGACTTGGATGATCGGGAGTTTCAAGTGCCCAAACATGTAAAGAAACAGCTGGCTGTACAGATTTCTTCTCTATGGACCGAAAGGTCGCAGGGCAGTCTCACGAATTCACCTGTCATTTTGTCAGGTTTGCTTGGTGCGGAGGAGACGCAAGGACTCCAAAAGGCTGAGGCCAAACAAGAACAAGAAAATAATGCGGAGGAGACGCTAAAACTCCAAGAGGCAAAGACCCTACAAAAACAGAAAAATAGCGCGGTGGAGACGCCAGAACTCCAAGAGGCGAAGGCCCACCCTAGGCTAGGAAATTTCAACATGATCAAAACGAGAATGGAAAAGATCTTTTTGGGAAATTGGTTAGGTATTTCAACCATGGGCCCCGGATCCGGCCTTCCTAGTCAGCTTCCGCTTTTGCCGCGTCCCATGGCCATGGAGTCCAAGAAGTACAAGATCTGTGAACTTTTCTCGGTTCCCCGATTGAGCCAACTAACCGAGTTTCAAAAGTCCGAGCAAGTGACTTGCACTACTCCCCCAAATTTTGACAAGAAGACTGGTTGGGATTTCTTTGATGCAAGAGACAGAGCCGAATTTTGGAAAGTGATGAGGGAGCAAGAACCTGATTTGGTCACTATGTCTCCTGAGTGCAGACCCTTCAGTGTTTTGATGAATTCGAACTGGAATCGCATGAATCAAGCTGACGTCCTACGTATCCAGACTGAAGGGTTGGCAATGTGGCATTTTTGCATTCAAGTTGCAGAATTTCAGCTAGAACACGGTAGGCATTTTTGGATAGAGCAACCAGCAGGTGCTTCCAGCATGACCACGCACTCCATGAAGTGGCTTTTGGAACAGCTGGAAGTTTATTTGGTTTTCTTCGATCAATGCACCTCTGGTTTGTCTGTATCTCCAGAAGGTCTCTCTCGCAAGTCCTCAGCATGTGTATCCAACCATCCAGGACTGCTCCATGAGATGTCCAAGCTGAAGTGTGCCGGAGATCATGTTCATGTCCCTCTGCAAGGAGGTCTGCCAGCCAAAGCTCAAGAGTATCCCGTTGGACTTTTGCGGGCTATGCTCAAGGGCATTTTGCTGACGCTTGATCGCAATGATAAGAAGCACCACAGTTACGGAGAATTCGACGAGGATGAAGAGCAGCGTCTGAGAGGTGAAGAAGATCCTGACGATGAAGATCTTGGGTTCAGACTCAGAGCCCCACAAACACCATCGCCGGCAATCACCAGACCAGTTCTCGTCACCCAAAAGCAGAAAGAATTGATTCACAAACTCCATGCCAACCTTGGTCATCTACCAGTGGATCAGATGCTCACTTTATTGAAAGCAGCTGGTGCCTTGGACTCTGTCAGAAAGTTTGTGAAGGAAGAGTTCAAATGCAATCAATGCATGCGGCAGCAGCGTCCTATCCCTCACAAAAAGGCGACATTCCCGAAAACGTTCAGCTTCAACCACATAGTGGGAATCGATTTCTTCTACGTCTCTTTTTTGGGAAAGACGCATGCTTTCTTAAATGCTGTGTGCCAGGGCACCAACCTGCAGCTAGTGGCCCTCCTACCGAACTACTCTGGTGGCCCTCCAAACTCCAAGGACGCATGGATTCTCTTCAGCAAAACGTGGATTGCTGCCTATGGTTTGCCCCAGGTGATTCTCTGTGACCAAGGATCTGAGTTCAAGGGCCACTTTGAAAGAGCCCTGGAGCAGGCTGGCGTGCTGCAGACAGTCACTGACAGTGCCGCCCCGTGGCAAAACGGCCGCGTTGAAAGACACGGCTCATGGCTGAAAACTCGGTTGGAGGAGGAGGTGCAGAGCGGCCAGTCCATCATTCAGTCTAGCGCTGAGTTAGAGGCATTGGCTCACATGGTAGTGTCCCATAAGAACAGATGGTTTCATCGTGGCGGCTACTCGCCATACCAGCTGGTCTTTGGCATCAACCCAAGAGTGCCTCTGGAATTGCTCTCTGATGATCAGATGATCTTACCCGCTCTAGCTGACGCTAGCGTGGAGCCTTTCTCAGCTGACACTCCAGCCGCCGAGTTCACCAGAGCTCATCACATCAGGCAGCGAGCCAGAGAACTGTGTGTGGCATCCAACTTGAAGGACAAGGTGCGCTTGGGGCTTTCACATCAACGACATCAACAAAGAAGTTGGTCTCCTGGACAATGGGTCTATGTGTGGAGAAAATTCCCAGGCACTGGCGGAGGTCACCTTACCCGGGCTAGATGGATTGGACCTGGTCTGGTCATCATGCAGTCGGGGCATTCCGCTTGGATTTCCATGAGGTCCCGAATTTGGAAATGCTCAGCCGACCAGCTGAGGTCAGCCAACCAATTAGAGTCACTTGGTGCTGAACTTGTGGGCAGTGGCGAGCTAGAAGACGTCTTGACACAGGCCAAGGCCAAGCAAGCCGGTGCTGTAGACGTGATCGCTGAAGGCCCCCCTCCTCCTGAGGCGTGGGATCGAGCCCCAGTTCCTGAGCACCAAGAGGTTCCAGTAGTACAAGAAGATGCTCCTTTGGAAGAAGGGACAAGACCTCCTTTGGCTGTGATACCAGAAGAAGGTCTAGCACCTCAACCGCTGCTGCGAGACTTTGTGCCAGAGGTTCCAGAGCCACCTCTCAATGTGAACCCAACAGTACCTTCCTCGCTCAGACAGATCTCCACCCAAACTCAAGAAGAACCACTGATGGAGCCTATGCCCACCGACTCCAGCACGGCTTCATCAGACTCCAAACGGCCAAAGACTCTCCACCCTACTCCTGAACCTGGATTTGTTCGAAGTAGGGTGGCTCAAACTGAAGCCGAACGACTGGAGAGAGAAGCACTCCGTGAGCTCAAAAGACTGGAACGAGAAGAACGCCTGGCGAGAGCTTCTGCTAGACGAGAGCGGACAACTTCATCAACTGGCGCCGCAGCAAGTAGCTCTACGACTCTGAATGACAGCCCCTCGGTTCCACCGGAGGAGCTTCCTATCCCAGAGTCAATCGAGGAGGATCTCATGTCGTTCTTCCACATTGAGGCCTCTGAGGATGGATCATTCCTGGCTGCGGCACCAAACAAAGCAAAGAACTCTGAGTTCAACATGAAGCTTGCGTCATCAGCCGAGAAGGAAGGATTCAAGATGTCAGATGCTGACGAGTGGGCCTCGATCTTGAAGTTGGGAGCGGCCAAGGTTCTCACTCTCAAGGAGTCTCAAGCTGTCAGACAGCAGTTTCCAGAGCGCATCATCACAAGCAGAATGATCCGAAGGAAGAAACCTATGCCTGGCGTTGGGAGCTTCAAATACAAATCAAGATGGTGTCTGCATGGTCATCAAGATCCAGACAGTGGCACCTTCGAGATTTTCTCTCCAATGCCATCGACGGAGTCCATCACCCTATTCTTTCAGTTGAGCCTGAATTTGGGTTTGAAGGTGAGCTTCTTGGACATCAAGAATGCTTTCTGCCAGGCTCATAAGCTCGACCGTCCTCAGGGAAAGATCTATGCCATTCCCTGCGAAGGTCTGAACATTCCTGAAGGTCAGCTCATTGAGATAGTGGCTCCCATCTATGGGTTGGATGATTCACCACTCAGATGGCACAAGACTCTTTTGGATTTCTTCACAAATTTGGGATTCACACGATCCTTGCTTGAGCCATGTTGGATGGTCAAGAGAGAGAGAGACACGGTGGTGTGCCAAGTTCTGATAGAAGTTGACGACCTGAATATGGCAGCGACTCCAGAATATCTTCCTGTCCTCAAGAAAGCCCTCACCGAGCGCTTCATTTTCGGCAAATGGGAAGAGGACCAAGCCGATTTTGCTGGTCGTCACATTAGAGTTTCCGAGAACAAAGTCATCATGCACCAGGAAAAGTACATTTTGGAAAAGCTTCATCCATTGACCTTGACAAGGGGTAGGTTCTCAGACAGGTCCTCACCTCTCAATACCGATGAGTTCGAGCAATTTCGTTCCATGCTGTACAAGGTAAACTGGGTTGGTCATCAAACGCGACCTGAGGCGGCTGGAGTTGTGAGTATTTTAGCAAGTAGATTGAAAGAAGCTACCGTGCATGACATTTCTTGTCTGAACAAGCTGATCATTCACTTGCGGAAGACCGCTTCACAACCTCTGGTTTTGCACAAGTTTGACAACAACCGAATGACCCTGATAGCTGCTTCCGATGCCGGTGGAGTGGATGGTAAGCCTTCGTGTCAAAAGGGTTCCAAGTCCATGCAAGACACAGTGCAAGGAGCGTGGCTCATCCTAGCTGCTGACCGCGTGCCTTCAGCTTCACAGAAGACCAAGGTCTCAATTTTGACATGGCGTTCAGCAAAGTTGAAGCGAAGGGTCTCCTCCACTTTAGCGAGTGAAGCCTTGTCCTTTTCTCAAGCTCTTGGGGAACTTGAATGGATCCAGATCATGTTTCGAGATGTGCTATTTGGTGACGTTTGTCGGGCTGATTGGACCACTTCTCTTCTTCCCTTTGTCGGTGTCCTCAAGGATGACAGTGAGTTGAGAGCTGAGCTGCGCAGTAGCGAGTCGTTAGACCAATGTGTAGTAACGGACGCCAAAAGCCTCTTTGACTCATTGAGAAAAGAAAATCCTACTTCCAGACAAGATCGTAGGACTTCTGTTGAGATTGCTATTATCATTGAGTCAATGAGACGTTCCAAGTCCATTTTGCGCTGGACTCCACACCCTCGCATGATAGCAGATTCTCTCACCAAAGATGACATTAGCAAGACGAATGGCGCCTTAGAAGAACTGTTTAGAACAGGCAACCTGGCTCTTTGGGATGAAGAAGACGAATTGGCTCGCAGGAAGAATCAACCATCTTCTAAAGCCAGGTCACGAAAGGCCTCTGAAGCCTTCCGCCAAGCGAGTGCCGATCTGCTTGTAGAGTGTCAACTCAACAAGAATTTTGGGGAGCTGTCGAGATTATTCACCTGTTTTGGATATGGCAATGACACTTTGAGTTGACACTTTCATTACCTCATGCCTTAGCCATCTCTAGCCTCATTTCGCCCTGCAATGATTACCCGCTGTTGATGGAAAAGAGTGCATTCTCCGCCAGCACCTTGCGTTTTGTCAAGTTCAAATCATATCAAATGATGAGTACCCTCTGGCTATTTAACATAGCCATGGAAAATGGCCCATAGAAATAGATGGTTTACCTATTAAAAATGGTGATTTTCCATGGCTATGTTGGTCATAACCAGATGGTAATCCCTTCACCCCCTAAAGCCATAGAGGCACCCTCCCAGAAAGGTGTCCCCTTTCTCCAAGGAAACGCTGAGCAATGCCACAAAACGTGCCTTGGCGTTCTCCGATAGCTTCAAGACCTGGAAAATTCTCCAAAATGCCTTGGTTTATCGGAGGTCAACCAGCCAAGTCTGTGGGCTTTTCACCATCATATTATATGGTTTCTGAATTCTGAAGCAGCCAAATATGGGATACTGCCAAGGGAGATTGAACCAACAGTCTGGATATGTTTCAGGATATGTTTTCAGCGGCGGAAAATGGAAGACCTCACGCACCAAAACTGATGCTGAATTCAAAGAGGAAAGCCCCAATTTGATTGCCCAAAAAATCAGTCTTTGGGTTGAATAGAAATACATCAATATCATTCAGAGTGATGTGGGGATGGGAATGTCACCAACATGGTACGAGAAGCGCCAAGACTGAGGATGTAGCTAGCTCTATATATATATATATGTGTATGATCATGCTCCAGGTTGATGGAATATGCTCAGAAGGTACGCTTCGCGATTGTTACCTTCGAACATTGGGTGGTGTGTAAGGCGGTCCTTAAGAAAGGGAACAGTTCAACACACCAATGTAAATTAATTGAAAAAGAGTTAAACCTGGTATGATTGTTTGATGCGGCCCCTTTGGTACTCTACCGGGATGTCCATTCCAGTTGATTTGTGCCAGGAGGAATCATCCCCAACTATGGCCGAACGTTTCATATTATATATATATATATATATATAATGTATATATATGTATATATATATATATATTGTACATATATATATATGCATATATTCATTTTTGGGGGGTCATATCCTATGGGTAATTGCACTCTTGTAAGCCTTATATTCGTATCTCATAGCCATGATCCCATCTGAGGTGCCACATACGATGCTCAGCGGCAAGCATTGCTGCGGCAGCGCAGTGGCCATGGTCCTACCGATATCCAGGCACCGACCCTGGGGAGCTAAAGGAAATCGGGTGGTAAGGAAGATTCCGTGGAAGGGCAGGTTCATATTCATATTCTTTTATCATAACCCTATATTCATTGTATATATATATATATAATTATATATATAAGCTGGAATAGGCCTTGCCCACTTCCCAACCTTGAACCCAAACCTGGCAACCCCCAACATACACAACGTTGTGGGTACATCTCATTTTCAGGCACACCAACTCATGACATTGTTAGTACATCCGGAATATCCCCATTTAAAATCTGATTAAATCCCATCAAGCTCATGCTTAAAGCCCCATGATCAGGCCAAAGCGTTGTATCCCCATTAAAATTCCATTGCCAACCAATGATTTTCCCAATTAGACCACCAGATATCTTGGTTAATCACCCTTTTTTCAAGGTGAGCCTCCCATGAAAGCAACATCCCCGCCCTCCTTAAAGGGTGCACCGCGGCAACGCATCCCGCGAGAGTTCATGCTGCAGCCCATCGGGTGCGCCGAACAGCTTGGGGTCCTCTGGGGGAGTTGGATCAACCACTGGAAATGGAGGGAGTTTAGCCAAAAGAAACCTGGTTGATGGATGGAGTTGAGCCAAAACTCATATTTTTGGGATAGGTTGAAACCACCGGAAACATACTAAGATAGATGTGGAACACCCGGGAAAGCCGCTTTTTCAAAAGCTTCTGCTGAAATGATGGGTTTTCCACGGCACCATGTTCACAGATGTTTACAGGAGGGTAGCCAATGGAACAATAGTTTGGTCGCTATTCGATAGTCAGATTTTTGGGCTAACCCATCGCCGTTTGGCCCATTTTGGATGGATTGGTTTAAGGGAAAGACTGCAGGAAAACAGGGTTTCCAATGCAATATACGGATGTCCCGGAAATTTTGCCTTAAACCAATCCATTGATTTGTTTGATACCCTGCAACAAAAAAGAAGAACCATATTGATTGCTCAGCTGATAGGGAATCATCACAAATTGCCAAGAGAAATGTGGCAGACCGCTAAAACATGTATAATTTTAGTGGTTCTATGATAGTTCTATGTGTGAAAAAAACATGGAAAAAACACATGATTGGCGGGTTTAGGGGTACCTAATTGTCAAGCATCCACATAATTCGCAAGAATTCCTGGCATGGTCAAGTTGTTTCAAAGAGGTTGTTACACCCATTTGATTGACTGAACTGACCCGATTTAAAATCCTGATGATAGGCTTATGGTCCCCCTTGATACTGATATTCTCAACTAAATAATATTTGCAAGATCCTGCAGCACTGAACATATGCAAACAAACTCGTCAAGCAGGAGAGTAGCATGGTCTTGGTGGTTGCTACAGGGTTGCTACAGTATCCTAAATGATTGTTTCACGAGACCACCACTACAAAGTCTGGGCTTTCAGGGCTGTGGCTGTGTTGCGTCGTTGCTCAGAGGTATCCAGACAAGTTCGTCCGCTATGCCTCTGAACGCGCTATGTCACAATGTGAGGTGGGGCTCACAGACTACCTTACAGTACATTTTGTCCAAGTATGGCTGCCTGAAAAATGCCCTTTCAAAACCTCGAAAAAACATCTATGATGTTCCATTGATCTGGGTAAATTATAATCGACCTCACTGCGACCTCACTGGAAATCATAGTTAGTAAGGGGAATCATCCCCAAATGGCCTTAATTCAGGTTAGTGAAATATTGTGATTTACCCAGATTGATGTGTCATTATTGTTCACCTGTTCTTCGCTGCCATTTGATACAAATAAGGAGAGTTTCCAGTGCCACGTTTGCTGAAGGGTGTGTGTGTGTGTGTCTGTAAGATTCTGTAAGTATATATATATAATATACATATTACTGTACCCACAGCAAATTTGCAAAATGGGTTCGACCAGCAAAAATGCGAACCAGTAACTCCACTACTCCACTGAGACAGCTTGAAGCCCAGCCATTTGGTATCCAGCATGTCACGTAGGGCGTCTGTGGGCGGTCTCTGGGACCACAAACGGATGGTCAATCTTCTCACGCTTCTCATGCTTCTCATGCTTCTGTATCTGCATGTGTTTGCATGCTTGTTGTTTTCAAACCTTTCAAAACATGTTGGTTTGAACATGAATTATCAGTTGCCTTTATGTGTTTGTTGTCAACTTCCTATTGTCCTTTAAATCGATGTTGATCAACTCAAAATATATATGTTTTAATACAAGCCAGAGAAAAAACAAAAATCTGTAAACATCATCTTAACACACTACCACATGTGATTGATCTATCTCTGCATAGGTCAAAAGTTCCGTTCATTCCTTCATTTTGGCACATCCTCAGCATGCTTTCAGGTGACAAGCCGTGCAGATGCCCGGCTGGATGGAAAGAGTGGCCTGGATCAGTCTGGGACTCCAAGACGTTTTGGTGACTAGTTGAGGCCGGTTGATGGGATTCAAAATCGATGAACATCTCATCAAACACATGGTAGGGTTGCTCCAACTGCCGCACGGGCCGCTCTTGGGAGAAATCTGAGATGTTTGCTCTTTGTCTAGCCATTTTACCACCCTAGTATTTGGATGTATTTGGGCTGTTGGGAGCAACCCTGCATGCGCTATATATTATATGTTGTATATTATATATTATATATTGTATATTATATATTTATTATATATTATATATTGTATATTATATATTATATATTGTATATTATTCCCGAATGCGTAGCAAGGGTTCCCGTTTCACTCTGGGGGTCTGGGGGTTGAGGGTGTGTTCGCTCGACGTTGCGTTCACGGTCGCAACCGTTCGCAACCGTCCGCAACCGTTCGCAACCGTTCGTACGAGGTCCGTATGGCCGTGCCTATGGGAAGTTTTGCAGAGGTGGTCATTTTTGGTGGTTTCGGACGTGTCGTTGCTTCGTTTCGCGTGGCAGGCGTGGCACTTTGTGACATTCAGACGTGTTTTGCAACGTGTTGAAAATCGTTTTGCGTGGCAGGCGCAATACTTTTGTGACGTTTTTAGAAGATGTGTTGCAGTTTTCGTGGCAGGCGCAGCACTTTGGACGTGTCTATCGTCATTTTTCGTGGCAGGCGCAGCACTTTAGACGTGTCATGTTGCGTGTTTTTTGCAAATCGCATTGGCAGGGCTGCGTCAAGTGGCGACAAGGTGCAAATTCCGTGGCAGGCGTGGCATTTTGTGCGATGCGTTGAAAATTGACGGCAGCCTCGCACGAAACATCGATTTTGAGGTTGCCAATTTTCACGTTCTAAGGAAAACTCGTAGGAAAACGTCGATTTTGAAGCTACAAAGTGTGAAAATTAGAGGAAGTCTCGCACGAAATGCTCGTTTTGGCGCTCCCACGTGTCTCGTCTCGCGTCTCTGGTTTTCCCGTGGCCTCGCCGTGTCTATGGGGGAAGCTGCAAAAGTTGTCTTTTTGTCATGATGCCAACTGTGAAAATTGCCGGAAGTCTCGTACGAAATGCTCGTTTTTTTGCACCCACGTGTCTTGTCGCGAGTCGCTGATTTTCCTGTGGCGTCGCCGTGTCTATGGGGGAAGCCGCAAAAACCTGACCTTTTCGAATGTTTCCACGCAGGTTGTCATGTCGTTTTGCGTGGCAGGCGTGGCACTTTGTGACATTCCAACCTGTTTGATAACGTGTCGAAAATGTCAAAATTGGAGGAAGTCTCGCACGAAATGCTCGTTTTTCTGCATCCACGTGTCTTGTCTCGAGTCGCTGGTTTTCCTGTGGCGTCGCCGTGTCTATGGGGGAAGCTCCGCACTCCACACTCTACACTTTACACTCCACACTCCACAATTTACCCTTTAGACCCCACACTCTACACTTTACACTCCACACTTTACACTTTGCACTTTACACTCCTCACTCCTCACCTGAGACTTTACACTCCACACTCCACACTTTACACTACACTCTACACTTTCCACTCCTCACTCCACACTCTACACTTTACACTCCACACTCCACACTCTACACTTTACACTCCACACTCCACACTTTACACTACACACTCCTTACTTTACACTCCACACTTCACACTCCACACTTTCCACTCCACACTTCACACTCCACACTTTCCACTCCACACTTTACACTCCTCACTCCACACTTTACACTCCTCACTCCACACTTTACACTCCTCACTCCTCACCTGAGACTTTACACTCCACACTCCACACTTTACATCACACTCTACACTTTCCACTCCTCACTCCTCACTCTACACTTTACAGTCCACACTCCACACTCTACACTTTACACTCCACACTCCACACTTTACAACACACACTCCTTACTTTACACTCCACACTTCACACTCCACACTTTCCATTCCACACTCTACACTTTGCACTCTACACTCCACACATTTTACACTGCACGCTCTACACACCACACTCTACACTTTCCTCTCCACATTTCGCACTCCAGACTTTACACTCCACACTCCACACTTTACACTTTACACTTTACACTCCTCACTCCACACTCTACACTCCACACTCCCCACTTTACACACCACACTCCACACTCTACACTTTCCATTCCACACTTCGCACTCCACACTCCACACTTTACTGTGCACTCCACACTCCACACTTTATACTTTACACTCCTCACTCCACACTCCACACTTTGCACTCCTCACTTTACACTCCACACTCTACACACCACACTCTACACTTTCCACTCCAGACTCCACACTCTACACTTTACGCTCCACACTCCACACTTTACACTTCACACTTTCCACTCCACACTTTACACTCCTCACTCCACACTTTACACTCCCCACTCCACACTTTACACTCCTCGCTCCACACTCCACACTTTACACTCCTCACTCCACACTTTACACTCCTCGCTCCACACTCCACACTTTACACTCCTCACTCCACACTTTACACTCCTCGCTCCACACTTTACACTCCTCACTCCACACTCCACAGTTTACACTCCACACTTCACACTCCACACTTTCCACTCCACACTTTCCACTTCCACACTCCACACTTTACACTCCACACTCCACACTTTACACTCCTCACTCCACACTTTACACTCCACACTTTAAACTCCACACTCCACACTCTACACTTTACACTCCACACTTTACACTCCACACTCCACACTCTACGCTATACACTCTACACTATACACTCTACACTCCACACTTTACACTTTACACTCCACGCTTTCCACTTTACACTCCTCACTCCACACTTTACACTCCACACTCCACACTCTACACTTTACACTCCATACTCCACACTCTACACCTTGTACTCCGCATTCTACACTTTACACACTCTACACTCCCCACTCCACACTTTACACTCCACACTCCTTACTTCACACTCCACACTCCACACTCTACACTTTCCACCCCACACTGCAGACTGGTAACAAGGGAAACATGTACAAGACTGTTCAAATATAAACTATTGCAGAAAGGTATTGCGCGTGACTCTATAACCATGTGTTTTGACATCTGTGCCATTAACATACGTGTGAGCATTCGGGTTCGTGGGCTTCATCTTGTTTTTGTTTTTTATATATTATAATATATTATATTTTATAATATTATATTATATTTATATTATATTATATTATAGTATATTATATTATAAGATGTTTTATTTTATATCATTTTATTTTATTTTATAGATTATATTATATATCATACTATATTTTATATCATATTATATTATATATAATATTATATTGTATTGTATTGTATTATATATTATATACTATATATATTATTATATATTATATATCATGTATTATGTATTATATATATTGTATATTGTATATTATATATATTGTATATTATATATTTTATATATTGTTTTTTATATTTATATATATATATTAGATAATTTATAATATGTTAATTATTAATATTATATTATATTATATTACTTATTTTTTTTACTATAGTATATTATATTATATTATATATATATTTATTATATACTGTATATACATAGAATTGATAGATTTTGATTATGGTTGATTGACCATGAGTTCAGGGTTATACTGCCCCCACATATGTATATATGCTTATATTGGGAGGTATCATAGTCCATGAAACGAGGCTTAAATGGGGCTGGAAACCTCACAAGTTGGAATCCCACGCCCATTCAAAAAGCATCCGTGCAGCTGGGAGTTCAGTGGGCACTGTAAATACTGATATAGAGAGACTTTCTGTGTGTTTGATTTGTAAGCTCTATGATGAAAACATTGATTTGCGAGTTAGATCAAGTGATATTCCCCACTGTCATCAGCAACATTATCACATATATATATATATATTTATAACAGCAGGTTGTTCCTGAGGTTCAAGGGCGCAGGAATCTCTGCCCATCGGTTGATATGTAGGCTGTAATGATGCATCAATTTTTGGATGAAGATATCAATGTCATTGGTGTCAATTACAGACTACATATCAAATTGAAAAATGGCATTGTATCAATTACACATCAATTACAGACCATATCAATGTCATTGTGAAATGTGCATTTATTTGGTGTCAATTACATCAAGACCCCATCTTCACTTTTGTGGCTTGGTATTGCCAATTCAAATTCCATTGGGGTCTGCATTGGTGGATACATTCTGGCATCGATCTGCACATTGGCAAGTTCTTCAAAAATCCATATTATATACACATATCTTGGCAAATTATAATAATTCACTCACCTGAAATAAGTCCAATTTGGGATGATTCCTCTTATTAACAATGATTCCATATATATATATACACACACGTCACACACATATATATATATATATACACGTCACATATATATATATACATATATTATCCATATGTGTGTAAATCCTTGGGGCAAGGATCTCATAGAAAAAAATGTTTTTTTAACCACCTGGTTGGTTTGAATGATGTGACCTGCGTCCAAGGTTTGTACCCTTCTTCCGAGCCGCCAAACTTTCTCTTTGGTGGTCCCTTGGGCGGTGGCTCTTTGAGATTGTTCAAAATGGCAACTGATGGCTGGAAATTGGTCCAAGATTGGAATTTGAGGGTTTTTGCTATGGTTCTCTTGCTATGGTTCTCTTATTAATTCTTCTTTCTAGGAATCGAATCATAGAATCTGATTGTTTTTTGTTCCACGTGTTCTGTGTGTTTTTACAGTAAGTTCTTCCATGTGTGTTCCATGAAAACCAATTCTTGGATGTGCCATCCATGGTTGGGACGGAGTTGGCTTTGGGACCGAGTAACCATGGTGAGTGAGGGTTGATCCTGGTTGATCCTTAGGGCGTTGCCAAGATTTGCCTTGGGGCTCCTGAGAAAGCTGGATATATGTTGGGTAAATCTTAGCTGGGCAGCTGTTCATGGGATTCAACGGATTCATCAACCGACCCGATGGGTCCAGGCTGCCGGATGTGAACAACATGTGTCGCATCCGAGCCCTCGAAGCTCGAACACGCTCCAGTGCCGGAGAGAAGGCGATGGGATGGGACCTTGGGCGATGGAGGCTGAAGGTCCTTGGTTGAAGTTTTGAAGGTGGAAATTTGAGTGCCCTCTCGGAAATGTCGGGAGCGGTCCGTGTCAGCCAATTTTAGAGGCGAAGATCAAGTGTCCATCCTCAAATGCTGTGAATTGTCAGAAAGTAGCAGAGGAAGTTCGCACTGCTTGACGTCATGCCTTTGGGTGTGTCCACAATACTTTTTGCTCAGAATCACACCGGGAGAGTTCATCGAGAATTGAGTACAAAGCTCAAGTTTCTGCAAGTTCGCTCTCACTTCTAAAATAAAAACATTGCAGTGAGGGGGCACGCCATGGGGTGCCTCAGTGTATCTTCCTGATTCTCCCACCATCCCCCACCTATTTAGCCTGCCACCTGCAGCTCATTGAGAGGTAGTGGCCGGTCGACCGGGTGGATTCAATTTAGGCTTCGAAATTGAAGTGGGACCCTCCCAGCGCTGTGGTCTCGGGGTCAGTTGCGAGGATGACTGCAGCAGCCAAGAAAGATGGCTGGCTTCAGTCTAGAAAGGATGGATTTTATGGATATGTCAGATTAATTTCAGAAGTGACCAACAGACTAGCACCTGAAGAGCTGCTTCGGGAGACTTCTGCTGTTGTCCAACACAGAGTACAGTCTCATTGCCTGCTCTCAATGTTACCTGGGAAGAGGACATGTTTGGTGTGTTTGAAGTGTAGACTGGTTGCCAGTTTCAGCTATTTGCTGCTTTTGCGTTCCCATATGTTCCCATGCTGAAAAATAGGGTGACCCAGATGGCCAATGTTCTGACGATTTCGATGATGATGTTGTTGTTGATGAAAAATCGCGTATGGAGTTGAATTGGGGTGATAACTTGATGGCTTGTTTTTGTTTGGGCCACAAATGGAGGATTCTTATATATGTACATTATATATATATATATAAATATGTATTGTTTTTTCCATGGGGTATCTAACCCTAACCTTAGCCATGTTGACAGTTGTGGTGATGATACGATGAAGATTATGAAGATTTAATAATGAAGAAGACTCTCATGGTAATGAGATTTGGAATTGTGAGGACAGAGTAGCTGCATAGTTTCATAGCATTGCATGATGTTGCATCAGGATGCAACAAGACACATGTTTTGTTCTCCTTCAATCATGATCCGTCATGAAATAAAAGCACTGAACTGCAAGCCTTGGCTGTCCAATTACAACTGACCGCCACTGCGACAGCTGGGAATCATCTCAGCACCGCTGGGTGCATGAAAAACAGAGGTTTCTTATACGTAATTTCTTACGGTGGCCACCATGATCTGGACAACCGCATCACACTTCCCATTGTCTTTGGTGTTCTATCACCATGTTTGTTGGTCATACCTCCATTTTCATCCATTTTCTAAATCTCATTCTCAGCACTTAAGAAAAGTTCGAACTTAACAATGCCGTGCCATGCCGTGCCCCATTTATAAAACGGCCCCGTTGTGTTTCACCTCCATTTTCACCCCGAGACGCCGAGAAGGTCTTCACGCTCAGGTCGGTCGTGACAGCGACTTGAAACTCATGGAGGTATCGAGACCGCACACAACGAGTTCCAACGAGTTGATGGGAACTGCATGGGAAATGATGTTTGGAAAATCAATTGGGAGATCAATTGGGATATATATATATAATATATATATAATACATATATATATATATATACGTATAGATATTGGAAATGGTAGGTATGAGACTGTTTAGATCATGTTTGTCGATGTTTCGACGACGCAGTGAAATGACACGTTTCAAGATTACCCAAACTTTGGGGAATATCTCCAAGTGAGGTTTAAAGTGCACTAAAAATCGAGCATACACCAAAGCCTGTCCTTGTGGGATGTTGGGACAAGATGGGATGCCTGTTTCACTTCGATCAGATCCAATACTAAACCAGGGCTGAATGGTATGGAAAATACTGTGTGATATCACAGTAGGGGACTGGGACTAACTTAATCTTTGTGGGAATGAGTTTCAAGAACCAGCCTGATAGTTTTGAGGGCTGGTTTGTGCGGGAAGTTATTATCACAATGATTTGCTTCAGGTTTCTGAATGTTTCGGGAATGTGTTCAATCGAAGATTGATTACACTGTTTGTGATGTTTCATGTGAAAAGTTTGAGGTTCGCGAAGTTCGCAGTAGTGATTGGTGAATGTCCCATTCGATGGAATTTGTGTAGGTTTTGTCATAAATGTTACATACCCTCTGGTAAACTAACATAGCTATTGAAAATTGCCCATTTATAGTTGATTTACCCATTAAAAATGGTGAATTTTCAATAGCTATGTTAAATTACCAGAGGGTACCCTGTAGATGGTTGTTGAGTTGTTTTCAGATGCCCGTGTTGGTTGGGTGATGTTCCCATCTTCGGCTTCAAGGATGTGGTTTCACTCGTGGATTTCCAGAGAAATCATCAATCCCGATGACTGGGCCCCGAAAATGAATCGATCATAGATCCAATACTAAACCAGGGAATCCAGGGATATCTAAGAAACATACATGCATGCATCCATCCATCCATCCATACATATATAGATACATATATGCATATACATATACATATATGTATATATATATATATACACATAATCATATGTGTATATATATATTCATATATATATATTTATATATATATAAACATATATATATATAAACATATATATATATATAAACATATATATATATATGTATATTGAATTGCAAGTGGCTCATAACCAAGAAATTTCAAGCCGAAAATCCAAGCCACATCTGGTGGTTCCGGCTCTCCGGCTCCGAGGCAGGGAAAGGTGAGCTGAACGAGAATGTGAACTTCATTGTGGTGTCCAGTCATCTGGCTGAATTTGTCAAGCTATGTGGCTATTTTTCTAGGACTGAAGTAGCAGCAACTTTTTTACCACTTTTTGGCTGGCTTGCAGTTGAAGATATCTGGCTGAATTTGTGGGTGGTATATCCACCAAATATCATCATGTTTAATGGGAAAATGAATGAGGTTCTAAATCCATTGGGTCTTGGGACACCCATTCAGACAAACCCATTGGATCGAAAATGGCCAGGCATTTTGTGGCGAGTGTCATCAGGTTTTGTCATCATGTGGATTCAAGCAAGCCTCAATTGTGGGGTTGCTGGATAGAGCTCAAGTAGCAACTTCTGCCTTCGTTGCAGTTTGAGATATCTGGATGAACTGAAGCGAGTCACCAACTGGAACTGGGGCCATTTTGGGATACTGAGACATGCCATTACTAACCATATTGCCTCAGCACCAAAACTCACTGATGGCTAGAAATCACATCGAAAGATATGGAAGTTTCCCCTGGGTGTGGGCCTCCAAGCTATTTGAAGTCAGGTTTGTGTGAAAATCTAGGCGAAAAAAAACGAACTCCACTGGTTTCTTATCATCGTCGCTTTTGAACTGCTGATTTTCGAGCATTAAATTCCCCATTTTCGGATCCATTCGTCAAAATGTGCTAGACTTGAGTTGGGCAGACTAAATGGGTGGAATTGGTTTCACCTTCCTCAATGTCCAAGAATCATTTCTGCCGTTTGCGAAAGAATTAGCTGGTGAATAGCCCACCATTTTTCAGAAAATACGGCAACTCATGGGGCCCAGGGATGCTTACCTCAAATTGCTGAGTCACTACGAACATCCCCACGATTCCTGGAGTATATGAGATTGGGGCATCCCCTCAAAAATAACACATTCACGGAATTTGTTCTTAATACAAGATGATATATCATGACAGATCCCCTGAAAATCACCATGTTTTCCTTCACTGCTACAGCCTGACATATCACTGAAACCTATCAGGCCCTCTCTACGACAACGCTTTCCGTTTTGAGGCGCCAAATGTTCAACAACAGGGAAAATATGGGATGGCCATGTCTATAAATGGGTGACTGGCTGGTGGTTTCAAACTTTTTTTATTTTCAATAACATATGGGATAATCCTTCCCATTGACTAATATTTTTCAAAGGAGTTGACACCACCAACCAGGTGACTTTCCATTGTCAGATTAAATGACTGGAAGGGAATCTTACTTCAGTATACTTCAGTATTGGATTTCAGGGGCCCAGTACCGAAATGATCCAACTCTTCCAAGCGTTCCAAAAGGACGAAAAGAAACACGCCATTTAGATGGGCATCTTGGCATGTCGAAAATTTTGGAGTCGCCCGCCATGTCGATTGTGCCATTGCTCGGTCCCTAGACATGGAGCCATCGAGGCGGCTTTCCGGAAAGGCTACTTCTTGGCCTTTCGCCCCCCCACCTCCTTGAGGAGTGGGTGGAGTGGGTTGGGGTGAAATCCCACAAAAAGCGGCGTTGAAGATGTCTTGGCATTTTTGGCCGATGGGAGAATGATGGGGGTTCACCAGGTTTCCGGAGTTCGTCTGAAATCATGTTGGGTTGGCTCTGTACGGGAATGATATCAGCCATGGAAGAAGGGCTCATCCACAGCTGGAAGGTGAGGGTGAATTGGATCCCAGACCCAGGTCAATGGTCCGTCCCAAATCTTAGACACAAGAGTCAAGTTGCGTCCAAGACAAGTTGGTCAAGTTGGAAACAAAATGTTCCCGCCTTTTTCACTTCAACCCATTATAACATATTATAACTATAATCGCCTTGTCCTCAATAGATTCCCAAGAACCCTGGTGCAGTACTGAAATCTCCTCATGTTACAATCTCACATGGGTATATTTGGGGATTCTCCATCCTTCCCAGAACTGAAAGCGCCATATAGTCTCCCCTGCCTGGATGTACATTCCAGGAATGCTAGTGGTGAACAACCATGGTAACTAACCATAGTATGATACAGTATTATATAATCATATGTAATCTAGTTATATAATCATATACTGTAACTTATATAATGTTTTATGCGCATGATCATATGTATATATATATATATATGAGTTATACACTGGCTATTCGTGGGTTGTTGCCCACTTCCTACTTGCAACTGGGATGCCCCATTCGTAGCAGACGGCTTCTGCGACAGGATGATTCCGTACCATGGCGGACCACTTCCCAAGAAGCCTGGGACCCCGCTGGATGCGGTGGGAATGAGGGGAAATCATCCCTAAGAGGTATCTATAGAGATCCAATATCCATGAGATCCTATTAGCAGCTTGAAATTAAGTGAAGATTGGTAAATGATTATGATGTAGACAGAAAAAACTTGGAGGCCAGATGTTGTTCGAGTCCGAAAAGGTTGTGGTGTTTGTGGGTTAGTTACCCCTCAAAAGACTGGTACGTACAAACAACGGTGGGTTTGAGCAGGGAACGATGAGGGATATTGACCAACACAAACGATGGTTTTGCGAGAGCGACAAGGGTGGAAAATTGGGCTTTAACAAGAATGGCTAGTTTAAAGATTGGATTGGCAGTTTTAGTGTGGAAAATGATTTTATATAAAGGGTGGGAGTTTGGGGCTGCTCCATTCTCAGACAAAGCTTTCTAGCAATCCAAGACAGCCGTCGGAAAGCTCCAATGTTTCCTGGGAACATCTACGAAACCATTGGAGGAGTTCTCATTGCCACGATAGTTAGGGGTATTCCACACAACACTACTGTCCTGGGCCCAAGCACGTCCAAAGATGTTGAGGCAGTTATAAGTTATAAGGATTTATAAGATCCGTTCAATGATCTTGTTCTTTTCAAACAAACTTACCCACTTTGCGGGGTGCTCCAAAGTATGGATGGCTTGTTCCCCCGACCTTACAACATCACAAATTTGTCCAATTTTCGTCTCCAAATCCCTAAGATCCCATGATTTTGGAACCTCCAAACTGGCCATTTTTGGGGTATTTGCCATGTTGCTCCATAGCTGTGGGCCATGCCAAACTCCCGGTATCGCGGACGGAGGGTGGTGATTGACTTCACCCTGGTGGATTTCCAAGCGATGTTCAAATTCATTGACATCGAGGAGGTGCGAACAGGCATACCCGTATCGACTCCTACTAGCTCTGTGATGAAAAGCCACCGGCATAGTTTGGTATATGAAATTCAGGATCATGATATACAAATAAGATCAAATAAGCTGATGTAGGTATGTATTGGGATTGGGATATGATTATTTGATATTACATCCAATACTATTGATATCATGCCTGCATGTGATAAATAATATCATACAATATCTCAGTAGAGAAAAAACATGTCCCAATATTTTAGGCTTTCCTAAGTCATAGGGCTACCCCTAGCTATCCATGCCATTTATAGATGGATTTTCCATGCCATCCAGCGATAAAAAGGGAATCCCCCATGGCCAGGTCCTGCGGCCGGTGATTGAAGCGAAGGGCGGCTGGGTGCCCTTGGTGGACGTGAAGACGGACGCCAACGTCACGGTCGCCCGGTCGCTGAGAACGCCCTTGGCGAAATGGGCGTTCTATGGAGAATAGATTGGCATGATTTTCACATACCCCAAGTGTAGATATTCTCCATTTCGGAAAATGATTATGAAGTACCAATCAATATCCATACCCCAATTGTAGATATGTGATGGTTATTCTTTTTCCCGAGAGCGTCTGAGCGCAGGGTTCTTCCAATAGTGAGGGTCTGTAAAACATCTTCTCATCTTCACATCTTCTCATCATCTTCACATCTTTTCATCTTCACATCCTCTCATCTTCACATCCTCTCATCTTCACATCCTCTCATCTTCACATCTCATCTTCACATCCTCTCATCTTCACATCTTTTCATCTTTACATCCTCTTATCTTCACATCCTCTCATCTTCACATCTGCTCATCTTCACATCCTCTCATCTTCACATCCTCTCATCTTCACATCTGCTCATCTTCACACCTTCCCATCTTCACATCTGCTCATCTTCACACCTTCCCATCTTCACATCTTCTCATCTTCACATCTGCTCATCTTCACATCTGCTTCTCTTCACACCTTCCCATCTTCACATCTGCTCATCTTCACACCTTCCCATCTTCACATCTTCACATCTGCTCATCTTCACATCTGCTCATCTTCACATCTGCTCATCTTCACATCTGCTCATCTTCACATCTGCTCATCTTCACACCTTCCCATCTTCTTCTCATCTTCACATCTGCTCATCTTCACATCTGCTCATCTTCACATCTGCTCATCTTCACATCTTCTTATCTTCACACCTGCTCACCTTCTCTCTCACGCCTTCTTTTTATCTTTCTCTCTTAAGGCCGAGGGTGGTGCCGGCGGCGAGTCACGAAACGTCAACCCTTTCGCACGAAATGAGGGTCGATCGGCAAAAACTGAGGTAAAATTGCGATTTGACTTGTCCTGGAGCAACCCTTTCGCACGAAATGATGGTCGATCGGCAAAAACTGAGGTAAAATTGCGATTTGACTTGTCCTGGAGCAACCTTTCGCACGAAATGAGGGTCGATCGGCAAAAACTGAGGTAAAATTGCGATTTTACTTGTGCCGGAGCAACCCTTTCGCACGAAATGAGGGTCGAGCGGCAAAAACTGAGGTAAAATTGCGATTTTACTTGTGCCGGAGCAACCCTTTCGCACGAAACGAGGGTCGATCGGCAAAAACTGAGGTAAAATTGCGATTTGACTTGTGCCGGAGCAACCCTTTCGCACGAAATGAAGGTCGATCGGCAAAAACTGAGGTAAAATTGCGATTTGACTTGCCCCGGAGCAACCCTTTCGCATGAAATGAGGGTCGATCGGCAAAAACTGAGGTAAAATTGCGATTTGACTTGCCCCGGAGCAACCCTTTCGCACGAAATGAAGGTCGATCGGCAAAAACTGACGTAAAATTGCGATTTTACTTGCCCCGGAGCAACCCTTTCGCACGAAATGAGGGTCGATCGGTAGAAACTGAGGTAAAATTGCGATTTTTCCTGTGCCGGAGCAACCCTTTCGTCTGTGTGTAAAAGCGTCTGTGTGTAAAAGCGTCTGTGTGTAAAAGTCTCTGTGTGTAAAAGCGTCTGTGTGTAAAAGCGTCTGTGTGTAAAAGGCTCTGTGTGTAAAAGCGTCTGTGTGTAAAAGTGTCTGTGTGTAAAAGAGCCTATGTGTAACAAGCGTCTGTGTGTAAAAGTGTTTGTGTAAAAGCGTTTGTGTGTAAAAGCCTCTGTGTGTAAATGTGTTTGTGTGTCAAAGCGTCTGTGTGTAAAAAGCGTCTGTGTTTAAAAAGCGTCTGTGTGTAAAAGCGTCTGTGTGTAAATGTGTTCTGTGTGTCAAAGCGTCTGTGTGTAAAAAGCGTCTGTGTGTAAAAGCGTCTGTGTGTAAAAGCGTCTGTGTGTAAAAGCGTCTGTGTGTAAAAGCAACTGTGTGTAAAAGCGTCTGTGTGTAAAAGCGTCTGTGTGTAAAAGCGTCTGTGTGTAAACTTCTGTGTGTAAAAGCTTCTGTGTGTAAAAGCGTCTGTGTGTAAAAGTCTCTCTGTGTAAAAGTGTTTGTGTGTAAAAGTGTTTGTGTGTAAAATCGTCTGTGTGTAAAAGCGTCTGTGTGTAAAAATCTCTGTGTGCAAAAGCGTCTGTGTGCAAAAGCGTCTGTGTGTAAAAGCGTGTGTGTGTGTAAAAGCGTCTGTGTGTAAAAGACTCTGTGTGTAAAAGCGTCTGTGTGTAAAAGCGTTTGTGTGTAAAAGCGTCTGTGTGTAAAAGCGTCTGTGTGTAAAAGCGTCTGTGTGTAAAAGTCTCTGTGTGTAAAAGCTCTGTGTGTAAAAGCGTTGTGTGTAAAATCGTCTGCGGGTAAAAGCCTCTGTGTGTAAAAGTCTCTGTGTGTAAAAGTGTCTGTGTGTAAAAGCGTTCTGTGTGTAAAAGTGTTTGTGTGTAAAAGCGTCTGTGTGTAAAAGCCTCTGTGTGTGTCTGTGTGTAAAAGCGTCTGTGTGTAAAAGCGTCTGTGTGTAAAAGCGTCTGTGTGTAAAAGCGTCTGTGTGTAAAAGTAAAAGTCTCTGTGTGTAAAAGTGTTTGTGTGTAAAAGCGTCTGTGTGTAAAAGCGTCTGTGTGTAAAAGCGTCTGTGTGTAAAAGCGTCTGTGTGTAAAAGTCTCTGTGTGTAAAAGTAAAAGTCTCTGTGTAAAAGCGTCTGTGTGTAAAAGTGTGTGTAAAAGCGTCTGTGTGTAAAAGTCTGTGTGTAAAAGTCTCTGTGTGTAAAAGTCTCTGTGTGCAAAAGCGTCTGTCTGTAAAAAGTTCTGTGTATGAAAAACTTTACAAAAATACGATGCAAACTATTGTCTTGTACTAGTCATATATTGTCTTGATACTACTCTTCTCGTCTGCCTATAATACATCTGTAATATATTATCTTGTAATATAGTGTCTCCATACTAGCAACAGAAGACTCTGCTCCTCTACGCTCTCGGGCCATCCGTCGTCTAGTTCCCAGTGTAGATATGTGATGGTTATTCTTTTTCCATGGTTGCTTGGAAATAGATGTGGATAATGTGATGGCTTTGTCTAGAACTTTATGTTCACATACCCCAAAGGGGCATTATAAATCAACCATGATTGGGGAATATTAATCATGTATAATTCATATTTACGCCATGTTTCTGGGTTATGTCTAATTGGGATATATGGTGATATATATAATAATACCATTTCATTAGTGGAGGATAGAGGAAAGTGATGATTAGCCAAAAAAATTTTGGGGGTACCTGATATTTTTTCAGATAAAGCCACCTTATTGGGAAATATAATATTTAAGATAGTATAAAATATTATGGACCTTGGATTGATGACAATGGCTATGATAGGGGGTCTTGTGAATTCCCCCCAGTTAGCCTGCAACAGGCATACTTCGGCAACATCTTGCAGAAGCCTATGTGGGATGATGACGACTTTCAGACCTATTTCGAGGGCCATTTCGAGATGTGGGAGTTCCTTGGCATTCGCTTGACGCGCTTACGGTAAGGTGGTTAATCCCTTCCGAATATTAAACACCCCCTAAACGAAACCATGGTTTAGTAGGGAATTTCCACGTCATTGGGACGAATTATGGGGTGTTTAATATTAGGGTGATGGGATTAGTATGATGTAGTTGGGGTAGAAGTGTTCATCCTCCATGATCCATGCAGCATCCAATTTTATTGCACCATTGAGCAATCAAAGACGACAAGAAAAGATGATCCTTCCAGGCATGATCACGCAATGTCTTGCTCTTGAACATCCAACATGTTTTTAGATCATGAGCTATACATAGTTATACTAGAAATAGATAGGCCACATCCATGAAGTCCAAATCATTAGCCGCCTCATTCAACCACTCGAAAATTGCTCCAACGGCCAGGTTCAGGTCTCAACCATCGCCTGCAGTGAGGTGTCGCTGGAGGGATCACCGAGTTGTCCATTGGGTTAGGTATTTTTTGGGATCAGTGAAGTGCTCCAAGTTTTCAAGAGGAACTTGAAGGCTGCGGGAGAGTTGGTTTTGATCTCACCGAGGGGATGTTTTCTGGCAGAATTTTTGGATGTGTGCCAAAACGTACCCTCTGGGAAACAAACAGTTCGCTATTGAAAATGGCCCAGTCGAAATAGTTGATTTACCCATGAAAAATGGTGGATCTTTCCATTGTTTTTTGTATGTTTACCAAAACGTATCACTGTTTGGAAACCATGTGTCGATTGCCGTCTCATGGTGGAAATTCCTCTTCCAAGGCCATGTGCAGTTGGGCTTGAAAACACTTAGGAGCGAGACACATTCGAATCGCGTTGTTTGTGCAGTTTTTCCATGTTTTTCCATGTTTTTTTGGGAATAATAGATAAGGTGATATCTAACTTATCATATTAAACATATCTATATATCATTTCTAAATCTATTATAATATGTTGGGTTTCCATCTGAAGTGACAATGTCAGCTTCCCGGAGATAGGTCTTTCCTAAAGTCTTCCAGCCAAGCTTCCCACCAGACGTTGCTAAGTCGCCAATGAATGGATCCCATACATTCCATATCATTCCATCCTCGTTTCCCGCACGGGAAGTATTCAATGTTTGGAGGAAGGGAATCGTATATGATATGATGTGTATAATATTGTATCCCAGAAAATCCCAATGACTCATTTTACCCCTTTGTTAATGGTGAATTATCACTACTATAATGGATAAATGAGTCATTGGACTTTCAGGGTATAGTATACGATGTTGGAGTGTGAAGAAGTTCATCTAACTACCCAATACTACCTGAATGTTTATGGCTCAAAGGGCTCAAAGCTATTGACCAGCAAGAATGTACGGTTCGTATATGTTCTGATGGTGCTTTTCCAAAGGAACCAGAGTCAGTTGGCTGGTCCTATAGACATCGTAGGGTAAAATTCCGCATTGCTATCGACCCTCAAAATATCGAAAATATGTGTTGAATCCAAATTCCTGGCACGTTCACTCACGTTGAAGGGTTTTACCATGTTTTACCATGTTTTACCATGATTAGAGCAAGCCCCAAAAAGATACAAGAGTAATCTATCATGTTTTTTTAGTAGGATATGACGAAAATCTATCATTTGGGGGTTGCTATAGCCGTGTTTCACCAGCGTTTCACCAGAGATGTTCAACGATCTTTTGTCCTTTAACACGTTTTTGGTTTCACACACAAAAAGAAACCTGTTCAAATTCACGCGTGTCACAAACAAAAATCTGGAGAAATCAACACCAGCTAGTTGTTTCCCCATTGAAACTGGAATTGGACTTGTCAAGTTCTTCAATTCTTAGTGCAATTCCCATGCCAGGTTGCGTGGTGTGGACGAGCGCTTAGGGCACGCCTTGGAGCGAGTGAAGGTGGGGTGAGCCAAACGGCTTTCATCGAGTTACAGCGATTTAATCGGATTTGATCATATTTAATCCATGAAGCATGCTTCATATGTCTAAATTCCATGATTCCCAACTTCAACGGGTTTTTCACAATGGATTTAACAATGGATCGATTGCGGATACCGGGATTTGGGGATGCATGATGATGGGAGTGTATCCCAATTTGAGTGGATTTAATAGGATCGATTCGAGATATAAAATGCTCGATGTGCAATGGGGTTTTGATGGTTTATTATGTCATCGGATATCCAACCAACATCAACCAACATCGGATGATGATTTGGTCTGAAAATGCCGGATGGTCCCATAAGATGGTGATTTCAGCGGGAAAACCCATGAAGTTTGGGGCGACCCTGTTTTAAGACAAGCCACATCCCAATTTTACCTGTTGAGATCGCCATCGCTTGTCTTGTTTTTACAGGGCATTTAGTCGTATCGATTTTGGTGTTGTCAGTCAATTAGTTTGAGTGGAGCTTCCCGGGGGTCGCATCAATTTTGAGATCATGATGTGAAGGGGTCGCATCGACTTCCATAGGAATTATGCTGCTGATATCCATGCAGGCACAGGTCCCCATGTTCCATGATATTCCCCAAATTTCATCGGTGACTACCCTCGGCTGTCAGCTACATGGCTGGGATAGCTGTCCTCGATAGCGACTTCAAAGGGATCGAACTAAATGGCGAATTGTCCATTGCCATGGATTGCCAGAGGGTACTGCTCTACCCTCACTGATGGCTACAGTTTTCCCAGCCACCAACAGCACCGGTCATCATGGGCGACCTACCTGACTTATGATTCTGACTACAACCCGAAAGAAAAATATTCACTAACCAGTCTAATAATTGGACGGGAAACATTTCTTTTTACAATATAGGTGTGTGTGTGTGTAAATACCGGGTTCCCGGTAGGATACCTCTAAATCCACTGGTTGGTGATTTTTTCCCTATGAAAAATTGCAACCAATTTTCAGACAAAGTCATCTCCTATTAAATCCTATTGATGTCCCCAGGAACATCCCACTAGATATATCCCATGCTTCGCTTGCTTGATCGCCGAGCGAAAAGTCCACCGCAAAGGGTGCTGATGAAGCGGCCTCTCTTATCATGACGCCTTCCTCCTCAGGGACGGGGAGGAAACGCTGATGTTCGAAAATTCGATGTTGGTAATTGGCTTCAAGCCATAAACTTGGGGGTAGAATTGGAATGTCAATATAGAAATATGCTCAATGATTCAATGGGAATATGTAGGAAATGGAACTGACACCACTTAAACCGTTGGATGGAATTGGAATAATGAATGATGTGACAACGAAACTCTGATGGCCTGTTACTTCAAACAGCTGAGGAATGATGGAAGAAGGAACATCGTGGCAGATGCGAAATTGTCATACCTCACTAAAATTTTAGTGTGGGATTGGTAAATGCTTGTAGTTACATGAATGATTGTACAAAACGCTCGTGGAATAAACTTTCAAAATCTTTTCCACTTGTTGGTTTCATGTTAATTGCTTACTTATCTTCCACATGTTTTCACATGGTTTCATATTCCTATTTTAAAATGCAGAGCACCAAATGAACAAGCCACAAGGCAATTTTGCAGGGGTTGCACTTTGACGGACCTTTGAAATTCGCTGGTTCCCACAGAAACCAACGGGGCGTTGGGAAGATGATCCCCTGGTCAAACCAAGGGCGGGAGAAGAGCTGAAAGGTCTCAATTGGTGTCAACCCCAGCCGCGTGTGGATAGGTCTCAAACTTCATCCACATGTTCAAGTGGAATTATCTCCGACAAAATGGATCAATCTTCAATCTACAGTAAATCATGCATGGTTTTGAGCTGATTTCGTGAGAAGTTTTATCGTGACTGGGTGCGGGCCAGTCTCGCTGCCAGCTGGAAGGCCCTGCCCGTCACCTTGGCCCATGGGTTAGTTTCCCTAAGAATTTTAAACAGCCGTTTGGGAGATATACCCCATTTTCAGACACATCAAATCACCATATTTATCTCCATATATATATATATATATATATATCCCATTGTTAGTTGATGGCTCATTGTTTCAGACACACCCAAATCAAAAGAATTGATTATCAATATATTATTATTATTATTATTTTTATTATTATTATTTATTATTATTATTGATTATTGATTATGATTGATTATTATTATATATATATATGTTACATAATGCAGTTTTTTCATGATATCCCAGGATCATATTTCCAGATCCTCGGAGTAGCCATGCCAATATCCCACATATCCCACGGTTTGACCCAGGCGCTACTTACTCCCAGCCTTCGAAGCCTTACGGAAACCCGGCAGCGAAGAGATTTCTGCCGCAGGGGGCCCCATAATTACGTCTCGGAGCTCGGAAAATGCAGCCAGTTGGGGTACTTGGTGTAGTATAATGCAGATTTTTAGGTTTTCATAAATGGGGGTAGCCCCAAATCATTCATTTCTAGCTGGGATTTTTCAGGATAAGACATCCATTTGGGAGTACCCCCATTTGTGGAAACCCCTAGTTGGTTATGGTAGGAAAATGGGGGTTACTGCAACATATATATATATATTATACATATGGGATTTAGTGGGATTGAAGTTAGTGGATTATAACCCCAGCTATAAGGAGGGTAGATAGATGCAATACTTACAACTGGGGTTATAGAACTCAATTACTAACTGAGGTGAACCATCAAGTAGTAGTAGGATACCAATGGGATATGGCAATTTTAATGGAAATATTCATTGCACATACAGAAGCGCGAGTATGGGATGGGCTTAATTAAATCATGCTGGTTTACTCATCAACAATGGGGATTTCACAATATTAAGGAAGTATATGGTATATCACAAACAATAGGATATATATATATGGTGATATATGATATATATATATATGGGTAAATTATAACGACCTCACTGCGACCTCACTGGAATCATGGTTAGTAAGGGGAATCATCCCAAAATGGCCTTATTTCAGGTTAGTGAATTATTATAATTTACCCAGATAGATATATATATATGGCTGTGTCTAATAAAAAACAACACGTTTTTTCTACAGCTGCGGCATCCCCCACGCCACTGTTGTCACAACCTCCGTTGGATCTCCAGTGAGTTGATAGATGGTCCCATGGAGCGTCAGGTCGTGGAAAGAATGGAGGTACGGATCCCATGGAACGACGGCCAGGGGTGTTCCCCAAAAAGGTTGAACCCCGATTTGCTGAAAATGGTGAATTGACATGAAAGATATTTTTCCCGAGAGCGCCTGCGAAGGGTTCTTCGTAAAAAAGCAGCCGTTATACTACATCTTCACTCCTTCACATCTGCTGATCTAGATCTTCACACCTTCACACCTGCAGATCTAGATCTTCACACCTTCACATCTGCAGATCTAGATCTTCACACCTTCACACCTGCAGATCTAGATCTTCACACTCTCACATCTGCCGATCTACATCTTCACACCTTCACATCTGCTGATCTACATCTTCACACCTTCATACCTGCAGATCTAGATCTTCGCACCTTCACACCTGCAGATCTAGATCTTCACACCTTCACACCTGCATATCTAGATCTTCACACCCTCACATCTGCAGATCTAGATCTTCACACCCTCACATCTGCAGATCTAGATCTTCACACCCTCACATCTGCAGATCTAGATCTTCACACCTTCACACCTGCAGATCTAGATCTTCACACCCTCACATCTGGAGATCTAGATCTTCACACCTTCACACCTGCAGATCTAGATCTTCACACCCTCACATCTGCAGATCTAGATCTTCACACCCTCACACCTGCAGATCTAGATCTTCGCACCCTCACACCTGCAGATCTAGATCTTCACATCCTCACACCTGCAGATCTAGATCTTCACACCCTCACATCTGCAGATCTACATCATCACACCCTCACACCTGCAGATCTAGATCTTCACACCCTCACACCTGCAGATCTAGATCTTCACACCCTCACATCTGCAGATCTACATCTTCACACCCTCACATCTGCCGATCTAGATCTTCACACCTTCACATCTGCAGATCTAGATCTTCACACCCTCATATCTGCAGATCTAGATCTTCACACCCTCACATCTGCAGATCTAGATCTTCACACCCTCACACCTGCAGATCTAGATCTTCACACCCTCACACCTGCAGATCTAGATCTTCACACCCTCACACCTGCAGATCTAGATCTTCACATCTTCACATCTGCAGATCTCCTCTCGCTCTTCTTCTATTCTCTCTTAAAGGCGGGGGCGGTGCCGCCGGAGCGCCACGAAACGCAACCCTTTCGCACGAAATGGACGTTGGACGTCCAAAACCTAGGTAAAATTGCGATTTTGAAGCGTCGCCGGCAACCCTTTCGCACGAAATGGACGTTGGACGCCAAAAACTGAGGAAAAATTGCAACTTTTATTGGTCGCACGCAACCCTTTCGCACGAAATGGACGTTGGACGTCAAAAACTGAGGAAAAATTGCAACTGAGGTGTCGCGCGCAACCCTTTCGCACGAAATGGACGTTGGACGTCAAAAACTGAGGAAAAATTGCAACTTTGAGGTGTCGCGCGCAACCCTTTCGCACGAAATGGACGTCAAAAACTGAGGAAAAATTGCGACTTTGAGGTGTCGCGCGCAACCCTTACGCACGAAATGGACGTTGGACGTCAAAAACTGAGGAAAAATTGCGACTTTACTTTGTCAATCGCAACCCTTACGCACGAAATGGACGTTGGACGTCAAAAACTGAGGAAAAATTGCGACTTTGAGTTGTCAATCGCAACCCGTACGCACGAAATGGACGTTGGACGTCAAAAAACTGAGGAAAAATTGCGACTTTGAGTTGTCAATCGCAACCTTTACGCACGAAATGGACGTTGGACGTCAAAAACTGAGGAAAAATTGCGATTTTACTTGGTCAATCGTAACGCTTTCGTCTGTGTAAAAGTGTCTGTGTGTAAAAGCCTCTGTGTGTAAAAGCCTCTGTGTGTAAAAGTGTCTGTGTGCAAAAGTGTCTGTGTGTAAAAGCGTCTGTGTGTAAAAGTGTCTGTGTGTAAAAGTGTCGTGTGTAAAAGCGGTTGTGTGTAAAAGCGTCTGTGTGTAAAAGGGTCTGTGTGTAAAAGCGTCTGTGTGTAAAAGCGTCTGTGTGTAAAATCGTCTGTGTGTAAAAGCTTCTGTGTGTAAAAGCGTCTGTGTGTAAAAGCGTCTGTGTGTAAAGGAGTCTGTGTGTAAAAGCGTCTGTGTGTAAAAGCGCCTGTGTGTAAAAGCGTCTGTGTGTAAAAGCGTCTGTGTGTAAAAGCGTCTGTGTGTAAAAGCGTCTGTGTGTAAAAGTGTCTGTGTGTAAAAGTGTCTGTGTGTAAAACTGTCTGTGTGTGAAAGCACCTGTGTGTAAAAGTGTCTGTGTGTAAAAGTGTCTGTGTGTAAAAGCGTCTGTGTGTAAAAGTCTCTGTGTGTAAAAGCGTCTGTGTGTAAAAGTCTCTGTGTGTAAAAGCGTCTGTGTGTAAAAGTCTCTGCGGGTAAAAGCCTCTGTGTGTAAAAGCGTCTGTGTGTAAAAGCGTCTGTGTGTAAAAGCGTCTGTGTGTAAAAGCGTCTGTGTGTAAAAGCGCCTGTGTGTAAAAGCTTCTGTGTGTAAAAGCGCCTGTGTGTAAAAGCTTCTGTGTGTAAAAGCCTCTGTGTGTGAAAGTGTTGTGTGTAAAAGTGTCTGTGTGTAAAAGCTTCTGTGTGTAAAAGCGTCTGTGTGTAAAAGCGTCTGTGTGTAAAAGCTTCTGTGTGTAAAAGCGTCTGTGTGTAAAAGACTCTGTGTGCAAAAGCGTCTGTGTGCAAAAGCGTGTGTGTGTAAAAGCGTGTGTGTGTAAAAGCGTCTGTGTGTAAAAGACTCTGTGTGTAAAAGCATCTGTGTGTAAAAGCGTGTGTGTGTGTAAAAGCGTGTGTGTGTGTAAAAGCTTCTGTGTGTAAAAGCCTCTGTGTGTAAAAGCGTTTGTGTGTAAAAGCGTCTGTGTGTAAAAGCGTCTGTGTGTAAAAGCGTCTGTGTGTAAAAGCGTCTGTGTGTAAAAGCGTCTGTGTGTAAAAGCTTCTGTGTGTAAAAGCCTCTGTGTGTAAAAGCTTCTGTGTATAAAAGCCTCTGTGTGTAAAAGCTTCTGTGTGTAAAAGCCTCTGTGTGTGAAACTGTTGTGTGTAAAAGCGTCTGTGTGTAAAAGGGTCTGTGTGTAAAAGGGTCTGTGTGTAAAAGCGTTTGTGTGTAAAAGTGTCTGTGTGTAAAAGCTTCTGTGCGTAAAAGCACCTGCGTGTAAAAGCGCCTGTGTGTAAAAGCGTCTGCGTGTAAAAGTGTCTGTGTGTAAAAGCGTCTGTGTGTAAAAGTCTCTGTGTGTAAACGCGTCTGTGAAAGTCTTTGCGTGTAAAAGCATCTGCCTGTAAAAGCGCCTGTGTATAAAAGCGTCTGCGTGTAAAAGTGTCTGTGTGTAAAAGCGTCTGTGTGTAAAAGCCTCTGTGTGTAAACGCGTCTGTGAAAGTGTTTGTGTGTAAAAGCGTCTGTGTGTAAAGGAGTCTGTGTGTAAAAGCGTCTGTGTGTAAAAGCCTCTGTGTAAAGGCCTCTGTGTGTGAAAGTGTTTGTGTGTAAAAGCTTCTGTGTGTAACAGCTTCTGTGTGTGAAAGTGTGTGTGTCTAAAAAATCTGCGTGTAAAAGCGTCTGTGTGTAAAAGCCAATGCGTGTAAAAGTGTCTAGTGTCTATGTGTAAAGGCGTCTGTGTGTAAAAGCCTATGTGTGTAAAAGTGTCTAGTGTCTGCGTGTAAAACCTTCTGTGTGTAAAAGCTTCTGTGTGTAAAAGCATCTGTGTGTAAACGCTTCTGTGTGTAAAAGCGTCTGTGTGTAAATGCGTCTGTGTGTAAAAGCGTCTGTGTGCAAAAGCGTCTGCGTGTGAAAAACAATACGAAGGATAGGATGCAAACCGGTGTTTTGTACTTGTAATATATTGTCTTGATACTACTTGTCTCGCCTGCCTAAAATACATCTTTAATATATTGTCTTGCAATATAGTGTCTCAATACTAACAACAGAAGACCCTGCTCTCTCTCTCTCTCTCTCCCCCTCTTTCTCTCTCTCTCTCTCTCTCTCTCCCTCTCTCTCTCTCTCTATCTCTCTCTCTCTCTCTCTCCCCCTTTCTCTCTATCTATGTCTCTCTGTGGTTGCAAGACACGTGTCATATGATGCCCTTTACCAAGCAGCACAGTGCATATGCATGGGTTGTCACATGTATCCTCTTCTTAATCAATCTTACTTTTCACAACTTACCCCTCCATAGCTCATATAAAATTCACCAACCTATCACCGACTATTTTTTACGACTACCATACTCAGAGCTGCTTGAAAAACGTCTTTTTCGCTCTCGGGCCAACCGTCGTCTAGTTGTGTTACATGAGCACTTTACTGGGTCGGGGAATTTGATGAATCATGATTTGGGGATCTTGGCTCAAGAGAATATAGCCAGACGCATTGGAGATGTTGACCATAAAATTGCGTGCTTCCAAAAACCATCCAAAATATGGGGTGTCCAGAAATGAGGGAATATAACCCCAGTTATAGATGTTTACGTGGGAACAAACCACTGGTTTTGGGGTGCCCTAATCTGGTACATACCGTAGGCTACGAGATTCTACGACGTTTATTAAGACTGGCTTCGTCAAATCCTTACGCGCAAAAAAGTGGGTGACTGGAGCACCAAATAGGCAGATGCTTGACCCCTGGAATCGGACATGAAGTGCATGAAATTGAAGTAGACATCCCAAATCAACATAAATCAACAATCCTATGGTAAAACATGGCTAAAACTACAGTATGATACCCTTTTGGTAAACATCACTATGCCATAAATCAATATAAATCAGCCCCAATTTTTTATGGCTAAATCGTGGTAAATCAACTACACACGGGGCCAGGCGCAACGACGAATCTTGGGAGCAACGGCTGGCATGCTGAGCATCCAGGTGTGGTGGTATGGGTGGTGTGGTTGAATCGAAATGATATTGAAAGCAGCAGTGTTGATTTAACTATCGTTTATAGATATTTAAAGGTCTTATAACCATCATTAACTGTATCAGTAACCATCAGTAAGCATCAGTAATCATCAATGATCTGGGGATGTTGATGAATGATGGTTGATGGGTCGATTTGTTGGGGGTTGTACTATCTAACTTATTGGCATTATGATAATCCATAATCTGGATACCCAGCGATACCTACTAACCAACCAGTAGAGTGGGGTGGCTGGGTTTGTCATGAATCAAAATGGGTGAAATTGTTTCCCCAAGGTGTGGCGAAGTTTGAGAAAATGCACAAAACAAACATCAAAATCACAGGGGGGAACTTGTCAGGAACTAGGGGCATCTGTGACTTGGGCCCATGAACTTACCAAGATCAAGTGTCCACAGTGTCCACAATACGACGGTGGGTAAAATATGAGGACCTCATTTTTTCATACCTATCCCACAACGAAGTTTTCAGGGTGAATTCTGGCAATTTACCCAGGTAAACAGTGGTAAACCTACTATGTATCATTGGGGTAAATAGATAAATAGTAAATAAGTCCAGACTGAACCACTGTTTTGGTTCAATGACAGGTATTCGTACACTGCTCACCGGCATCAAGTTACATGTTTCCATTTGGGAGCTAGACAAAACTGTGACCGTTGAGTCGGCACAGGACAGGACATACAGATGGATTGCTGCAGTAGGATGAGGCATTCCATATTCCATATCATTCCATTTTGGGGGTTGCCCCCACTTTGAGCCCTCTTCATTTGGTTGTAGAAAGCATCGCACGCAAGGCTTCTTCAAAAGGATTCCGACTCAAATTCTAGATTCTTGAAAAAGAATCTTCAACACTGTCTGCCAAACTCGAAATTGCAGTCTGGGTGTGGATCGTCTTTCCAATCCGTAATGTCTGACGTGTCCGTCGTTTCTCGCAGGTGGAGTTCTCTCAGTTGGTGCGTTTCGCGCGGCTTCTGCAAACACCGGGCAGTTCCAAAGACGTGGCCCAAAGGCCATGAGAGTCGGGCCATGGGGTGAAGCCGTCTCTGGTTCATCGTTGACATGACCCACTTTGAGATAAGACCTATTATAGTTATTTATAATTTAGGGGAATGCGTTATATCCAGTTAAGGATGTATTTAAAGACTCTCCGTCAGTCATGCTTAAGATGAATTCTCTAGCTGCATGTCTCCTTTGGAATCCATCACCCTTGCCTCCAAGGTAACCGCTGCTTGATGTTGTAGCTTCATCCGAAATCCGGTTCAAAATGTTTCAAACCAATGACATCCCCTTGAAAATCAAAGGTGACTCGAAAATTTGGTCCCATTTCACTCGAAAATGTGCGACCGGAATCGCCATCTCTGAAGCGAGCTGCTTGTAGACCATGGACCAGGATGGAAACAGAAGCAGCGGCCTTGAGCAAAATTGCGCCCCGGACACGGCGATGGGGAAAATCTGGTGATATCTGGTGATCATGGGGATCTGGTGAGCAACAATCCATTTGGGATTTCGGAGAAACCAACCATTTGGGACAGGGTGCTACACCAACAAATATGTTGTAAATGGCAATTGAACAAACGATGTTTTTTTGGGTGTAGCACCAAAAAGTTGGAAATATATTGGTAGACCTTGGCACTCAATTCTCCAATCCTTCGAGATGAAAGCGCGAACCTAACCAGGTACAAATGGTTTTTTTCGCAAGTTATTTAAGATTTGGAATTGTTTCCTGCACGTGTTCCCATAAATTAATTTTGGTATAGCCATCCTTTTGGCATCTAGTTGCGGCCATTTGCAGCCTCTAGTTGCGGTTCAGTTCTCCAGTATTTATTTCACGACCATCCCAAATATTCCAGCATTTTATTGCAGAAATATGGTCAGAAAACACCATATTCTTGTTGATTGGGCCCATTGAACCGCCGAAAAATTCTTGATGATTCTTGATTCAACTCCCTAGTTTTGCGGATAAATCCTATAGTTGTGTAGATAAATCTCGTTTTGTGGATAAAGCCTACTGACTATTGACATCCTGAAGTACAGTAGATAGAATATGGGATGTTCAAACGTATTCCCATTTAAGTGATGTTTTTCGCGAATTCCATATTCTGTCTAAGACGATAAGCTCGCGGAACGTGTGGTTTTGAAATGAAATTGAGGACGAAATAGTTGATTGGGTAAACCATGGTAAAACCTTGGGCAAAACATCTTCAAATATGATGAAATATGGTAAAAACCATTGGGAAAACCATGTAAAACCTTGTGCTACATTAGCGAAAAACATTGGGAAAACCATGGTGAAATGCTGTAGACGATGGCAAAACTGAGTAAATTGCCATGAGAGATCTACACAATTGGAACTCCAAGGTCCTGGCCCGAGGGAAGGCCGTGGACAGCGGGCAGCTGGCAGATGTGGTGCCACGGCCAAGACTTGTGAAACAAAGCGGGAAAAGTTGGAAAATGTGCAGAACTTCTGCGGAAATTCTGTGATCTTCTATGAATTTCTTTGTTTTGCTCTGATTCTGTTGAATATTTCAAAATATGGAGTGCTTGAAATGTTGGAAACTTGGACACTTAAAAAAAGTCTATATTGTTTTGTTCAATGTTTTTTAAAATGCTTTCTTGAGTAGAAAAGGGGGGACAACCTTGACTCTCAGAATTGGTTAGAAAAGGAAGAGTTAGGGCAACCCCTTTGCTTTTCTGGGAAAAGCGTGTTTCCTGTAAATGTTCCATCAAACCTATCGGGGTTGCGATATTTCTATAGATGAACATGGAGTTTTTGGACACCCTTCATTGGGCAACTAATCACTAATCCAATGAATGACTCTTTGATGTTTGACTCACAGTTTGATATGGGGTGCAACCAGCAACAGTCAGACACAGAAGCAGATGTAACATGATGTAACCAACGATCATGGTTTTTGTGGCTGTCCAAAACTTCGCAATACCCCAAGCACATTGATTTCACCAGCAACAGTCATTGTGATTTGCTTGAGGTTCCTTTCCGCGAGCCAGCTGCGTTTCAGCTGGTTTCAACTGGTTGGTTATCCCCATTCACTGACATGAATGGGACCCATGAATCGGACCCATGGAAAATTCCTATTGTTGATGGTAAAATCTCCATGTTCACCCTATGAAATCCCGATAAAAATACCCAATTTTAGCTGTCGTTGGTTTATAACCCCATCTACTTATACCCAATAAACCCTACTTATCCTAGTTATGTTTACCATTGTACCTATGGGGCACCACGTTGTACTTGTTCTTGAATAAATCCACATGTTTGATGGCTAAATGCTAAATCACCATTGTTGTTGGTAAACCACCATTTTTGTACAGATTCCCAACTTATATCCTCCATAGTTAAATGGCGGTACTCAAACATGGCAACTGAAAAACCCCTAGAAATGGAGGTTTCAAGGGGGAAGTCATTGAACTAAATGGTGCCGCTGCAAGGGGTGCCGCGCAAGGTCAAGTTGAGTGATCTGAAGCCCATCCTGTCACTCCCCGGCATGTCTACCAGCGACACCGACGTCTTGGCAAGGCCAAGCTGGGGAATGATACCGGGACCGCGGACCGTTGGGGACTTAAGTAACTACAAGTAGCAACTAACGATGTAATGGAATGATACAGCATATTACGTGCGTGTAATGTGATGTAGATGTACATGTACATGTGATGCGATGAAATGAAATGAAATAAAATGAAATGCAGTGCAATGTATGTAATGTAATGTATGTGGTGTATGTAATGTATGTAATGTATGTAGTGTATGTAGTGTATGTAATGTATGTAGTGTGTGTAATGTATGTAGTGTATGTAATGTATGTAATGTAGGTAGTGTATGTAATGTATATAGTGTATGTAATGTATGTGTGTATGCAATGTATGTAGTGTATGTAGTGTATGTAATGTATGTAATGTATGTAGTGTATGTAATGTATGTAATGTATGTAATTTATCGAATGTATTTGATGGAATGCAATGTGTGTAATGCGATGTGATGTGATGTGATGTGATGTGATGTGATGGAATGGAATGGAATGGAATGGAATGGAAATTATGTCATGTCATGTCATGTGAAGCTGCTGAGCTGGAAAACAAGCCATTTGCGGGGATGCCCTCAGGTAATCAAACGTGGTTTGCTGGAAAAATCCTCCAACAGTCCCATAGTTTTCCCAGCCAGGCGGAATTTTGCACATGTCACGGGTCAAAGATGTTGAAGCATGGGAGTTGGGTGTGGATTGAATGGGATTTAACGGCATTTTCACGGGTTTTAAGCAGCAGAAATGGTGATGTTATGATGAGTTAGTGGGATTAAAACCTATGATTGTTCTTAACTTTGGGAGAAAAAAAACGATGAATATCCATAAATCCCAGTCTTTTTGGTTTGAACACCGGGGGCAAAGTTGCACAGACCCCATTTTGCCCAGGAGACCGAGACCAGCAAAGCTGAAAGTATAAAGCCACTGTGGCGTATTCCGTTGTTGAGTTGGAGATTTCCATAAATGGGGGTACCCCCAAATGGATGGTGTGTAATGGAAAAAATCCATTGAAATTGATGATTTAGGGATAATTAACCCCATTTTATTTAGGAAACCTCCATTTATAGATTTGACAAAATGACCAGTCATTTGCGAGCATATCCCATTTCTGGCCACCATAGCCACCATATGTTCTAGCTGGGTTCAAAGAATTGTTGTCGTTCAACCATACTTGGGATGGTTGGTTGAGATGACGATTTTTTTGATGGGTTAAAACATGTTAGAATGTTAGAACCATCAACCAGAAACATACATATTACGATAGCTGTGGAAGACCGTTGGGACAAGCGTTTGGAAGGCCGTTTGGAAAAGGATCTGATGAGTTCATGACGTAGCCACAGCATTTCTTGCCCAAAGATCTGGCAGGATAACATCTCCTCCATTGTCAGAGGTGGATTCTGCTGGGTACGTTGATGATCAACCTTGAGAATCTGAAACTCAAAAACTGGCATGTGTATATTATATATAATGCGTGCGTATCAAATATATCAATACATATCACATATATATATATATAGATAAAGATGTTGAAATATATATATATTGTTTGTTTGTTGATCGTTGCAGCATGATTTTGCCACAATTTGGGATATGTTATTATATGTTCCTTTTCTGCGGTCTAGAGCTACGCATCCGCGCCCCAACAAGTATCTCTGCAAATCAAAGAATGAGACTTCGAAACTCCGGACAAAGCCCAGAGAAAGTCAAACAATGTCTAAACTGGGTTTTGCGGGTAGTATCAGAATAATAAATCCTGACTCTCTGACTATTGATTGAGGGTTACCACCAAAGCAGTGATAAATTGCGATTGAACCCCCCCATTCATCAACAGTGGGTTTACTAGATCTGGTTGAACATTATTAGGTACCTACCTGCTCCTTGGTTGAGGATGGTTCCCCATGATTTTGTTAGGCACAATTGGGTCCTTTCCCCAATTCTTCGTTGGAGAGAAACATCCATAAATCCCAGCTTTTTTCATGGTTACATAGCCATGGACAATGACCAATTTCTTGATTTTCTGCATGATCTGCCGCCACAAGATGGCCATCAAGAAACCGCTGTTTTCAATGTTAGATTGCCAGAGGGTATCATTGGGCTTAGAGTCTGTTTATACCATGAGTCAAGTCTGAAGACCCAGCAACGCTATAGATTCCCTGATCAGTTTGTGTTGTCAGCTACATCATGTTATCATGTTTTTTCTGCCGTATCTCTCCTTTCTTCATGTTTCTTAAGGTGATGTTTCTGTTCATAACGGGCTGGCAAGATCTCTATTCCGATGCGTAGCATCCCTATTGTGATTGGTAAACTCCCTACGTTGGGGGCTTTCATCTATTTGTTACTGCTTAGATCTACATGTTTCCCTCATTTGATTGCTGGTTGACTCACTAAATTCCTTCAAGTGTTTCTTGTCGCAAGTGAAATTTCACAACTCCACCTGTACTGTATCATAGAGATTTCACACACAGTTTCCCACATACGGGTCAATTTTTGTTCCAGCCCTGACTAGAGATTTAAGTCTTGTTTAGTATTACCCATCCAAGAATTGGGGTACTCAATTTTGATCCATATCCATATTTTTCCAGCATCCGCAGGCGAGCTTGGAACAGCTACTGAGCGTGATATCCCTGGCCAGCGCGGCCAACGCAACGGCCTTTGCACGGGAGGTGGCCATGGTGGATATGCGATCTCAGCCATTTCTCTGGAAAAATTGGTCGATTCTGGGCACATCAAGGTGAAAAATTTGGGACAATCTAGGGAAAGAAATCGATGGTAAATGGGATTTAAGAAGCAGCAACCAGCAGGAAACAAAAATCTGGGCCAAATGCGTTGGCAGAATTTGGGGGATGGGGATGCAAACCAACAATCATGGTGGGTTAAAGTAGACTAAGCAAGTTTTAGTTTTAGTTCTCTCCTACTCTTTGTTGGCAGTATAGAACTTAATTCCTGGTATCTGGGTAAACTTTGGCTGCGTGTTTCACTACTTCATTTTTTGCAATTTGATGGGGACATCTTAAGCTAACCAGCTTAAGATTTCACTTTGCATGGTATGATTGATTGGGAATGATATCAGGTGTTCGCTTCAGAATTTTAAAGCAAACAAGGAAATTGTCCAAAGACACAGTTGTTCTCACACCTGAATTTGTGTATTCATTGTTTCGAAAAACTGAAGAACACCTGGCTCTCCTGGCTTGCAAAAAAAACATGCGTTCCTCATCGTGTTTTTCCCCGGTAAAACCGTGGGTACCGCAGCCAGGTGGGTCAGTTGGCCTTCCACAAAGTGAGCCAAGGAGCCCAAAGGGCCAACAGGATCCATCCCAAAATTTACATTTTTTTTTGGGTGGTATAAACCATCAAAATATGGGCGGTTTGTTGTTGCTTTACATTTATGTGACATTAATCAGGTGTGTTGCAGCCTATGTACAGGTGAATCATAGGCATTTTTGGGTGGGTAAATTGCTGATTTCTGGGCATCCAATCAACCAACAGAGGAGACTTTGTGATGTTCCTTCAAAATATATATAGGGTGTATCTGAAAATGGAATACATACTCTCAATACCTTTTCTTCAATGTTCAAACCAACACATATGATGGACGTATCCCGAAAAGATTGCAATCTCACCAATTTCCCAAAGGAAATCCAGGTTCCAGACATGCCTTACCCCTTGGACACAGCCCTGAATGGTTTGAGCGACGCTATAGGATTGATCTATCCAGATCATATCATATCCATTCATATCCTATCCTCTCTTATCCTATTCTAGCCTATGCCATTGGTTTATCTATAGATCCGCTTACATACAATACTACAATACATCATTACAGCATATTCCATTCCTGATTCACTCATCTACGTGCGTAGCATTGTGCCTTCTCCATCCCAGTTGCCGAGGTCGTTTCGGAAGCTCCGCAAAAGATGTCACCAACACTGTGGTCGCCCTGGCCAACGGGGGTGGCTTGGCTGGACAATGGATGCCTCCGGTCTAGCAGCTTGGCTTTCCCAAGTTAGGCCAGTTAGGCCAGTTCCATGGAAACATGGTTCCGCTGTGGCGGCGCAGAGGACTCAATGAGGATTCCACCCGTGTGGTTCAAAATGCGTTCAACCATGGAGATCGTTTAGATTGAGATTACCACCAAGAACTTAAGGGTTAGAGTCAGAGGTTAATTTCCCACACCAACTGTGACCCTTTTTTGCAGGTTCGATAGACCTTAATTGCTGCTGTTTGGCTAAACCTTCGAAGAAATATCTATCAACCAGCTGAAATTATTCGGCTTCGCAGCCTCGGTGCCGTCCCAAGGCCTCTTGTTGGATTCCTGTACCGCTTTGGTCGCGCAGCATGCGGCCATGATGAAGCACGAGGCGGGGAATGGACCCCTGGAGCTTACTGGTGCGTGTGAGCTTGGTTAGGCAACCTGGGGGCCTGGGGGATGATACTTGAGCACCAAAAGGACCAAAACCCTTGTTGATGAACGATCGGGGGATGCAACCACCAAAACACACGTGCCTGGGGTTCCCTGTACCCATCCGGAATCCTATTTGGGGCTGCATCCTAAGAATCAGAAGTGGCTAAGAACCAGGATATAGCCTATATACTTATGTACGGGATACCCAGAGTTAGTCCAGTTACTAAGTGAGATACCAATTTGTTGATTGAGATTGATTAACACAAATATTATATATTATACACAGTATTCATCAGTATTCCACATCCCCAACGATACCAAATTCGGTATCCCATCCTACATTATTACCGTTTGATTACCATTTGATTGCCATTTGAGATGATAGGACGGGTCATTTAAGTGGGGTTATCCCATCCCAATATTGATGAGATATCCCATGAGAACACCTTATCAGATGTAGCAATTTTACATGGGATAATTGGGATTGGCTTGTATATAATTAAATATATATATATATTGATACTTATGGGAAAATGTAGCCAAAAATGGGATGCCATTGATATAATTGGCATGGCTTGTATACTTCATGGGATCTTTCCCAATATATTGTATCAGCCATGGCTCCGGTTAGGCTGTTGAGGTTGCGGCCAGGATCCAGGTTGCCAAAAATGAGATCCATAATATGCTGATGATTCTCATTAAAATCCCCTAGCCATTCCCATATTAAAGCATATATAAGCATCAATACCCCATGAAGTCCCCACAAGTTTGTGGCTTCAAATACGTGTTTGATGTTCAACCATCAAAATGGATGATGATCCCGCGTTTCAGTTAGTAGCCATGGGCCATAGCCATGATTAATCATAATTCATCATGAACCACGGTTAACCACGAATTGACATGAATCAATCACCACAATAACATATACCATTATTAGTCACAATGAATGGTGAATCATTGGATCATTCATATTGATTCAGAATATGTATACATATATACATAATGTGATATATTGTAATATATATATACATATGTAATATAGATATACATGTATGCATACATGTGTACATATGTATGTATCCATTGCCACAGTTGTTCATGACTTGATCTCCAGGATCTTGCTATGGCCCTGGCGGCCATTGGTGACAAGGGCTACGAAGGCTGAAGAAACTCGGGCAGCGGTGAGGAACTCAAAATGGGATTTAGGGGGCTTTAATGATAACTCCAATAGCTAGGGTTTGTACTGTAGGGATTATATCTATAATCGATAGGGTTTATAAAATGTTTTAAACTTCATGGGGGTTGAATGGATTGAAAGATATAAATAGGATTTGAACGGGAGTTCAAGATCTAAATGGGGCTTTAATGGGGTTTTAATGAAAGTTTGATGGGGTTTTACAATCAATCACAGGCAGTTCACCATCAAGAATGTGAGGGACAATTACATATAATATATTATATAATCCAGAAACGAATATTGTCTGATGGTAAATGTTGAGATGGTTATCAACACACCTTTTATATATTCAGTCCTATCGTAATTCAGGAAGTGGGAAGCCTCATGAACCAACCAGTATTTTGAATAGGAATTTGACCTTGCTCAGTTGGATGCAAGTCAAAAACCCTTTACATGCGCTTGGTAGACCTTGATTGATCAGGTTGGCTTTTGCTTTCCATATGTCTATAATATACTTGCCAGGTTAAGAATAGTGTTTCGCAGGGTATCTAAGATTGGCGCCCAGAGTCAACAGAAGAGTCTTCGCGTGTTTTGGTTGGGATGCTACCCATCCTGCAAACGTTCCCCTGACTGAAACCAATCCGATTATATTTGTTGATCAAGTGACTCATATTTACATATATTTTCTCCACACATTTGCATATAGTATATGCACATAAATCTATAATCTCTATATATATATACGCATTATATACACACGTGATTATACATAATATTATACATATGTATAGTGTATGTGTATATATATATATATACATATATACATATATACATATATATATGTATATATAATGTATATATATATATATACATATATATAATGTATATATATAATATGTGTACATCTAATTATATATATATTGGACTCCTGTGAAAGGAACCAACCTCAGCTGCAGGTCCCGAACTCGAAGCCGCCTGCAAAGCCCTGGGAGGTCACCGTGGAATTTCCCTGGGAGTTTTGGGCGCTTTTTTGGCGTCGCCGGGCGGTGGATACTGTGGATAGCTTCATCTTACTGGTGCTTAGCAGGGAATGATATTTAATAATCATCCAACTAATCAGGGAATAGTAATCATTGATAGTTATATTCCACTATCATTAATGATAACTATGAATGATAGTGGAATGTAACTATCAATGATTACTATTCAGAAGGGGAACTCTTAATGATAACTATGAATGATATTTAATAATCATCCCATTCCCCCATTCCCTACTAAGCAAGAAGTAAGTCATTGAATTGAAACAGTGGAAAGCAAAGATTTGAATACATGTTTTCCAACGGGCGGTTCTTTCATGATCATTTCTTTGCCATATCCCCCAGTTTAAGACAGATGCAGTAACGTGGGTTATTGGGCATTTGCGATTCCTGCAAGTTTCATCTCAGAGGTCCTGCTCCTGAAACCAAACCTCCAAGAAAGGTCAACGGACCAAACGGTCCGTTTCTAGGAAGAGCAAACGATGATTATCATGGTTACCCAAATCAAAAATGGTTTTATGATGTTTTATGTGTTTGTCCTTAACAAAATAAGGATGAGGTTGGAGGTGGTTTTTTGGGTGAGGAGGTGGAGTGGGGAAGCTTGATCCTCTAACAATTACTCCTGAGCCGCCGGTTATCTATCGAATCACATCCCCACTATATCCACATTAACATCCCGCTCAAATGTCCACAAATATCCTGCTTAAACGGCAATTCATATTCATATGTGGATATTGGTCCGGAAATATAGTGTACCCTATTTAAAAAATCGTTCGCTTTACCTTCTATTGACAATATGTTATAATATGTTATAATCATATATCGATCCTGGTTGTGAGTTTCAAACATGTTGTATGTTCAAATCCCAGCTGAGTTTCAGTTTTAACCTCACCAGCTAACCATTCATAGATCCCAATTATACCCAACAAATCAAAAAACAAAGAACAAAAAACACCAATCCCCAAAAATCCCAAGAGATTCTGTTGAGCCCTGTTTTTTTTCTGGACCTCCACATTCAACGTCCCAGCGTTCGCGTTCAAGGCAGCTGCGCCTTGGCCTCCCTGCCTTCGCAGCGGCTGCTGGCCTTGGCCGTGAGCGCCACGAAGAGCTGCGCCATGAGCGTGCTCAGCGGCCAGGCGGAAGCAAGGAAAACTGGTGGTTGAACCTAGGAATAAAGTAAAGCAATCAATGGATAAAAAATGGTATGTGCTAGTATCAGATAAAAGGATATATGTGTTCTCAAGGAATGCAAAAACATTGGAAAAGATGGGCTTTAAAACATCAAACATGGATTAAGAAAAATAGTGGTTTAACCGGCTGAAGAACGGCGACGTCACAAATGTTAATTTTATATGAATGGTTGAATTTGCTATCAATCAACAAATGGAATATTCCATCAAATGCCATTCAGGATGTGTATATATATATACATATGTGTGGGAAGGTTGAACCATCAATTGAATGGGATTTAAAGTTATATTCAATGCGATATTATTTTAGGGTAGTATTGATATCTAATAGAATAGAAGATATGACATTATATAACCAACTTGATAAGATAGACCAATGCTTTTAGAAACGGGTTGGGTTGTTGGCTGCTTCGCCTGACCTGGGGATGATCATGGGGAATTTCATGGGGATCGAATGGAATATGCTATGGTTTGGGTTTGCTGAAAATAGAGGTCAGCTACAATCTATTGCTTCTGTCGAGGAGGAGGATTGACGTATCCTCATTGAAACGGATAAAAGTCCGAGATTAGAACTATATGAAAGGGGTTCCCCCGACAAACGGTTGGTTTTGGTCGCATGTTTTCATGCTCCATCCCAAATTGATTGCCCTCCGGCAATTTACCTGTGTTTTTTCCACAAGTAACGCTTCCATTTCGATCTACCTAAGCGTAAGCCAAGGTCATGCAACTAGGTTGACGTGGATTCAAGTGAGTTTACTCAATGCCACCACCCTCCATTTACCCAAGGACTTATCAGTTTGAATTTGTTTGAAACTACATCTTTAAAAGAACAGCCGCGACACTTATTTGCGAAATGATCAAAATGATTGGGAGCACTTTCCAACGAATGGAGTTTCTCATATGGTTTTTTTAACGCATGACTCTCCATCCCACAAACTGCCATAGACCGTGCCAAAAAGGGGATTGGAAGACTACTCTCCTCTCAGAATTGGTGATTCGCACGGTCTGCAACTTGTCGCCTGCCCCCAGTTGCAAACTGGTTTATTCCCCGCTTAAATAGTTCGGTATATCCCCCATAAACCGATCCGTTTTGTCATCAAATCTTGGTGATATACCTGAAAGAATTCTAGCCATCCAGGGAGAAGGGCCAGGACGAGTGCGACAAGCAGAAGAAATTCAAGTGGTGCTCTAACCAATCCATTAAGTTTGCCTTCTGTGGATCCCAAGTTAACGATTCCGGGACCTGCAACACGACCCACACATTTGGTTAAAGCCACTAAATTTTTGCTGGCGAAATCCACAAGTTCCACCGAGCATTTGCAGGTGCTCGAAGCAGCGGTGGAGGCAAGAGTTGCAAGGTGACAGTTTGTTACGGAGAATGTATATGAAATGGCCTGTTTAGTTCGATGATTCACGGAAAATTGTGATTTTCTTTCGCACACTATGAAATTTCCAGAAAGTAACTGGAATTAATTAGTTCAAAATTGCGGGGATATCAAATTTATTTGTCTGTCAGTAACTATGAGTTACTGTTATGTACTAAATCGAGTACTGATTCAACACTTGTGAGCTACTGTGTTGTTAACGTTTAGCGTTTTTAACACTAATATGAGAACGTTTCATACCTTACATAGTGATCGATATTCCGTCACTGTCAGCAACTGTGTATATCCCAAGTTGTCCCATGTGCCCCATGTATCAGGGAGTATAAACCACTTCATCCCTTCAATTTATACCAAGAAAGCTAGAGACATGGGCCCTGGCTGGATTTGAAGTTGGACTGGACTCCACCTTCGCCAAAGTCAATCTGACCATGAGTGGATCCAGCATGGGGAACTTTATGAAACTTTGGTATGTACTGATCTTAGATGCTGTCAATTGGGGTGTGTATATATATATATATACTGTGTATATATATATAATATGATGATAATGATGATGATGATGATGATATGTATATATATATATATACTGTATATATATATTGACCTAACCAGCCAAAAGTCTTTTAAAGGAAAGTATCTAAGATTGGCCGTGAATCTCCGAAAAAAATGTCAGTTCCACGGCAGGTCCTGGGCACTTGGCCCCCACAAGAGGTGCGCACGACCAAACTGCAGACATTGCCGCATGAATCTGCGGCTGTGTTCTGTTTGACCCATCCAAAAAGTGGATATAAGTAGATTGTATTTTAGGTTGGTGTATAAGTACAAACTTGTTCAGAAGTTCAGACTGGACATACATCGGCCAAAGAAGCTTTTCGCCACTGGCAATTTCACAAGGCATGCTGGAAATAGCCAGGCTCCAGCACGCCATCCTATGTTTGTTTACACAAGTTCACCAGCTGAACCCCAAGAAGTCTCTTGGTTGATGGTCTGAGTGATACCAACTTGTTGATTTATGTAATTGTTGATTATATGGCGATAAATATGAGTGGTTAGAGTCATATTATAACCTTGGATTATGTTAACTATACATACAATATATATACACATAATATTATTGAATATTTGGATGAAGACTAGTCTGTGTTGTTTACCCAGCGCCACAAACCATCCACTACTGGAGAGATGTGTTTTATGCTGCCATAATATACCATAAAGAGAAATCCATATCATTGCCATTCATGGTTGCCATTTATTACCATCAACCACAAAATCTCAATGACTGCCCTTGCTGAAAAAAGTGGATGACCACTACTATGGTGGGGAAAAGGAATCATTCGACGTTCATGGATTAATTGCCAACAATACACAGTCGTGTATTGTCGTTAATCTCTATTAATCACCATGAATCACCATTAACGAACCATTGAAAAACACATGATCAACATAAAACATCTCAACATTAATCACCATTAATCACCATTAATCACCACTAAGAAACATCAATTGACCAAAAAAACAACATGGATGGTAGCCATTTCTCTTAGCTCGCTTCTCCAGGCTATTCGCTTGCTCTTGGCCTTGGCCAAGCCACGAAGTCGTCCCGGGGAGGTCGGACGAGGAGGGTTGATAACCATTACCCTTCCTGGTTGGTGCTTTGGAAGATTTTTTATGACTTTCCCATCATTTGGGGAAAGAATAACATCATCCCAACTGACGAACTCCATCATTTTTCAGAGGGCTAGGGCTCAACCACAACCAGCAGGATGGATCTGAAGAGTCCAGGGGTCTCAGGTGCAATGGCCAAACACGACCAAAACATATGGCCATGACAAGCCATGGCTGGAAAATGATGATGAACAAGTGTTTGTTCCAGGCCCCCTTTCTGATCGGTCCTTCCTCTTCAACCATTCCATCTACCACTCAGAAAATTGAATTGAAAGTGCTGGAAAATACTAGGTGCTAATCAAATAGTTTGTTTTAATTACAAAATGCTATATGATTATACATATAATATATATATAATGCTGCCATGCAATTGGCCTTTCTAGATCACATGTTTAGGGTCTTCACTTCGTCGCCTGCATCGCAGGCTTCTGCCGAAGGGCCCAACCCCCTCTGGGCCAAATTGCTTCAGAAGGCTGCCAGTGTTGCCGCTCGGTGGAATAATGGGGGAAGTCGGTGGATGAAAACTGGAAGGTTGACATCCACTGGTGATTGGTAGGGAATGGGGGAAGGCATGATTGTGAAAGTACTTCTGGATTGGTTCATGAAACCCCATGTCCTACGTTTAGTACCAGTAAGTTTCGCGCGTGTTTGGCGTGTTGATGAAATGTTGTCTTCTAAGGATTTTCTGGAAAGCTTGGCGAATTTGGTTTTATTTGGCTAATTGTTTGATGAAGGAATCGAATGGCGCTAGTAAATCTTCGTTGTATCCTACTGAAGATGAGTTGCGCGTATGTGATTCCAGTTTTTCCATGTGTTTTCATGTTTTCAGAGATGGCATTCAAGATTAGCCAATTAAGAAAAGAGGATCGACCACCGACAGCAATGAATGGCAAGGTGCGTGAACTCTCCAGCCTGACTCCACCTAAGGAATCGAGGGCCATTGAAACATGGGGAAAATCAGGTTGTTTTTAATGCAGTTCCAAACGTTGAGATGACTACAATCCATCTTCCAAGAGTGAAATCCCATCAAATCACCATCTAGAGCAGGTTAACCGTTTGAATCCCATGAAATATCAATCACTCCAGCAGGTTAAATCCATTCCAACCCAGTAAACATCCCAGGTTAAGCATTTTGAATCCTATTGAATCCCATGAAATCTTATATAGAATCCCATCAAATCCCCATCTATAGCAGGTGAAATCCGATTAACCCCGATACTATTATAAAGTAAATCAAATCCCATGTGAATCCCATTTCAATCCCAGTAAATCCCAAGAAATCCACAATTTTATCCCAGGAATTTGTTTCATCCTAAAATCCAAATCCCAGTAAATCCCAGTAAATCCCACTGAATCCCACTAAAATTCCATTAAATCCCGAGAAAATCCGTCCTTTTCGCGGTCAAAACCTTCCCCCACCTTTCGTCCCATGTCGCGAGGTCCGGCCGGTGCTGGGTGAGCTGCCACCGGCGGAGCTGATTCGCTTGGCGCTGGCGGCCAAGAGCCATGCAGCTCAGGGCAAGGCGGGGTTTTAATCCTGGAAAAGGGGGATTTGACCAGGGTTGTGGGGATGAAAGATGTGAAAATCCTGGAACTATCCCTGAAAAAGTGGATATATTTATTAATATATATATATATACGTATATATATATATATACGTATATATATATATATACGTATATATATATAAACCCTGGAAAAGGTCCATTGTTTTTTGGATATCTTCAGGGACGTCAAGCAAGAAAAATAGCGGTTCAACCATCAAAAAATGATGGGTGGTGGCTACCAATTAATATTTGGTGTTAATGGTGCTTTCATGGGATTTGGAGAAGTTCTTACCATGAAAAACGGGGGGCTGAACCGGTTACGCATGAAGAATATGGCAAGCCAAAATTAACGGGACATGTTTTTATTTTGTTTTTTAGCTAGACACCGAAACAACTCGAAATTGTCATGGTGGTTTTCCCAAACAGCCATTTGTTATGTGGGGATTCTTCATTACCATAGGGAAACAACAATTTCTTCCTGTGCTGCTGATCCTTGAGCGGGTACACTTGCAGATTGTATCAGGGTGGCATCCCCTAATTAATAGTAGGGTGACAATTAACCACAAGGTGGTGCCCCAGTTTGTCAGGTAACTTGCTTCATAATGTCTAGGCTAATGCATGGGTTATGGTGAATATATCTACGGTCAATTGGGTGTATAAACCAACAATAACCAAGCTGTGGGGCGCCACCCTGTATATAGGGTGTTTAACCATCACAAACATGGGGCTATCATTCTTTTTTTGCCATCAAAAACTACTGTTTTACCAAGAAAGTTGGAGTTTAACAAGGGTTATTCCTTAATGGCTATAATTAGAGTGTTTAACGAACACAAACGTGGAGATACAAGGGGATATATTATATTATGACCCAGAAAGCATGGTATGGGAGTAATCAGCAACTGGCAAAGTTATATTCCATCATTTGTAGGGGTATCTAAGATTGGCTCTGCTAATACTTGGCATGTTGAACAACTATGGAATCGGGGGAAACATGGATATACAACCGACTTAACTGGTTGGGAATACTGATGGTGTTGGTGGTATTGACCCATCAAAGTCGTTGTCAACCTAGCCCATGTTAATAAGGAGTATGCATGAATATGATTCATACAAGCACCATAAGGCGTCAACATGGAGGGATGCCTTAGAATTGATTGGTGAGTTTAGAAATGTCTTAATTTTAAAAACTGTCCAATTACTTGGATGAATCACCAAAATGTTGTTGATGATTTGGGAGCAGATGTTTTGGCCAAGAACCATTGAAATGGAAGTGGAAATCTCCTTGTTGATGCAAGTTATTGATGAAAAGTGGGGTGCCATCAACCTTTGATCCATCAGCATAGACGTGGCCGCCAGGAAAATCATGTTCTAAAGCATTGGATTGTGCCTATTTTTCCATATTTTTCCAAGTTGTTCTGTGTGGTTCCCAAATTATGATAATGACCACAATAATACTCCCGGTTTTCTGATACAACAATTATATTGGATTGTATTATATTATATAATACAATATAATATCATATAATATAATATGATATATAAAGTAATATAATATCCTATCATCTCATACAATATAATACAATATAATATCATATCATATCATATCATATCATATATATATATCATATATAATATAATATAATTTAATATAATATATGTAATATGATAAAATATAATATAATTAATTTAATATAATATGATACAATATAATATGATACAATATAATATGATATAATATGTATAATATATATATATATATATTATATATATTATATATATATACAATATATATTATATATATATATATATACAATATATATATGTGTGTATATACATGTACTGTACTGCTTGGTGGTTTGCTAAAACTGTTATTTTCTATCCAACAAATTGGGATGACGTTCTCCCCATTGACTTTTTGATATTTTTCGACGGGATGGCCCAACCACCAACCAGTAAGCATGTCAAGCTATCCAAAAATGATCCAAAATAGCCTTAATACCGGTTGCCGACCAAAACCGGCAATGGTTTATAGTATAGGAATTGTCCAAACGAAATATGCTTAGTGAACTATAGTTGTTGTTTGTCCAGAACCATATATTGGAATATATTGGACATATTAATCATGAATGGTTGATTCTCAACAATAACACAGATGTTGGTTAAATCTTAAACATGATTATTCGTGTTTCACACTATCCAGAATCCAGACATTTTTTATTATTATGTTTAATCATAAGTGGTTTTTGCTTGGACTTTTCCATTCTCCCAAGGGTTTTTCCCCAGCCAGGACCTGTTGGAAGTCGTAGCCTCGGAGGCGCTGAAACGTCTCTCCGAACTCCCGCAGGCGTGGCGTTGGGACGGCCCTTGAATTTTGAATGCGCGGGTTACGAAGTCAGAGGAGTTTAAGATCTATTTAATGGAAGTTCATGGGATTTAAAGAGATTTATTAGTGATTTAATAGGGATTTTTTGAGTGATTCAATAGGGATTTTAATAGGGATTTTACTATAGGGATGTGTAAGGTTTTGTTTGTTCAAAAGCCTTGTTGATTGTTTATAGGCGGTTATATTAGCACCTCTATTGGGGATTATCATCCATGAACTGGGAATCCCTATGAAACAACTAAGTACAATGGAATGATAGAAGCTTCGAACATTGCTTATGGATGCATGGATAAATCGTGGGTAAATTGATCGGGAAAATCGCGGAAACATCTTAATCCCAGTCCTGAATCCTCTAAGATCATGGGTATGGTATTTGCAGCTGTGCCCTTCTTGCACGTATCTATGGACTATCGAGGTTTTTGTTTCAGAAAGCTCAACTGTTGTAGTTGTTCCATGGGTTTTCCAATGGGTTTTCCAATGGTTTTCCCATTTTCCCAATGGCTTTCCCTTTTCCCAATGGTTTTCCCATGGGTTTTCCCATGGTTTTCCAATGGGTTTCCAATGCTTTTCCAATGGTTTTCCAATGGGTTCTCCCATGGCGACTCCAGGCGCACTTGCTGCTGATGACGCAGGGCTTGATCGCCCTGGGCGGAGCGCATCCCTCGGTGCGGCAGATCTGTGGCTACTGGGGAGAGGCGACTCCGTGGATACTGAGGCCACCATATATGGATTAATAGTATTTGATAGTTCGATCTATATAGATACATGTAATGTTCTAGGATTTGGTTGTCCATTTAGATGAACATATTTAGATTGTACATATATATATATATATAACCATTTAGATATTTAGATTTGGATTGTAGATGATTGTAGATGATTGTGGATATATTTAGATGTTGCAGTGATGTTCTTTTCCAGTTTTAGTAAAGTAGACTATCTAAATATGTATAGATTGTAGATCATGAAGTCCAAGGGTGAAACCCCATGTTTTTTTCACTATGTAAAGGATTAGCCTAGGAACAGAAGATGTGTATGTGACATGAGTTGATCATCACTGATCATCTGTCATCTGACTTGGGGGATTTGACCAAACATCACGGGGATCTACCCTCTGGTAAACTAACATACCCTCTGGCAAACTAACATAGCTATTGAAAATTGCCATTTATAGTGGATTTACCCATTAAAAATGGTGATTTTCCATAGCTATGTTAGTTTTACCAGAGGGTAACTATGGAAAATCACCATTTTTAATAGGTAAATCAACTATAAATGGCCATGTTCAATAGCTACGTTAAATTACCAGAGGGTAATGGATGTCCTCTCAACCGTCTACGGCTCGCAGGTGCTCGCTGAAGATGCTAAGACTGGTGATGTTGTGTCGTCGCGACGGGAACAGCTGGAGCGAGGGCAAGGTTTGAACGGTGAACAGGCATGGCTGGGGATGAGCGTAGCTACTTTTTTTGGTGGCTGGAGATGGTGGGAGGGGGTTGAGGAATTCTGATTGTTCTATCCCTATCTGGGATGATGATCATCATGATCTGACGTGTTCGATTTAACTGATGATCCTAAGATGATGATCCCAATTCATCGCAATGGCCACTAGTTTCAAGCTGAATCTAGCAACAGCTTGTGGTTTCGAAACATGGGTCTGTTTGAAGATCGGTTGCCCCAAAATTTCATGGTTGCTCATGTTAGGTCACCATTTTCAGATCGCAGGTCGCCAAGCTGGGGCAAATCCTGGAGCCCATTGCTTCAGCAACCTGGCGTCACCAGAGGGGCCATGGGGCCACAGTGTAAATTCACAAATTTGACACATGGGCCACATGCGATTGGGTGAATCGTGGGTGAGTATAGTTGTTCTATGGTTTTGTCACAAAGAGCTTTCTGCAAAAGGTATTCAATATACTGGTCAGAGATGTTTAGTTGATTTTGATATATTCTTTGGTGGGGTACTTGAAGCCTCCCAATTCATTTCTGCGTGGATCTGCTTAGTTTTTGTGGTGTCATAACCCAGTTGTCGATGAGTCGGCATTTGGGTGTCCAGTCTGGTTACATCCATTTTGTTGCAACTTCGGTTCGCTAAACAGCATTTTGGTACCAAACAGTTGACATATTCAACCGCCATAAAATATTGACGAAATGTTAGGCCAATTGTCTACTATATATATATACATACACATGTCTATCTATTTACTGTGTAGGTAGATAGATAGATAGTTAGATAGTTCGATAGTTAGATAGTTAGTTTGATAGTTTGTTAGATAGTTAGATAGATAGAGAGATAGATACATAGTTTCATAGTTAGACAGATGAATAATTTGATAGTTTGATAGTTTGACAGTTAAATAGTTAGATAGTTCGTTCGTTCGTTCGATCGATCGATGGATAGATAGATAGATAGATAGATAAATAGATAGATAGATAGTTTGCTAGTTTGATAGTTTGATAGTTAGTTGGATAGACAGATGGATAGTTAGATAGTTAGTTTGATAGATATTTAGATAGTTAGTTTTATAGATAGATAGATGGATAGATAGATACATAGATACATAGATACATAGATAGATAGATAGATAGATAGTCGTTCATCGTTAGACAATTAGATAGTTAGTTTGATAGTTCGATAGTTTGTTTGGTTGTTAGTTAGTTTGTAAGATAGTTAGTCAGATAGATAGATGGATAGCTAGATAGTTAGATAGTTTGTTAGAGAGAGAGAGAGACAGAGATAGCTAGTTTGATAGTTAGATAGATAGTTAGATCGTTAGATCGTCAGATAGTTTGAGTGATAGATGGATAGTGAGATAGTTAGATAGATCGTTAGATAAATAGATTATAGTTGGACAGTTAGATAGTTAGATCGATAGATTGTTTGATAATTATAATTAGATAGATAGATAGATAGATAGATGGATACTTGGATACTTGGATACTTAGATTTTTAGATCGTTATATAATATAATTAGTTAGATAGATTGATGGATGGATTGATAATAGTTCGACAGTTAGATAATTGGATAGCTGGTTGGATAGATAGATAGTTGGATAGTTTGACAGTGAGATCGTTAGATCGTTTGGATAGTGAGTTAGATAGATAGATAGATAGATAGTTGGATAGTTAGACCGTTAGATAGTTTGAGTGATAGATGGATAGTGAGATAGATAGATAGATAGATAGATAGATAGATAAATAGATAGATAGATAGATAGATAGATGGATAACTAGATAGATAGAAAGATAGATAGATAGATAGTTGGATAGTGATATTGTTAGAACGTTGGATCGTTAGTTTGATAGTTAGTTTTGATAGGTAGTTAGATAGACAGACAGATAGATAGTTTGTTAGATAGTTAGATAGTTAGATAGTTAGATAGATAGATATATATATATATATGTATAGTTGGATAGTTGGATAATTAGATCCTTAGATCGTTAGTTTGATAGTTAGTTTGATAGATAGAGCGATATTTGTTTTCTCCGTGAATCCAGGCGCTGGATTCCGAGACCTTTGCACGCTGCTTCGGTGGAATGGCCAAGCGCCTGCAACGTCTCAGCAGGCGACGGGGACAAAGATTGGGCGCAGGACCAAGGTGATTTTCATTGGAAAATTAGTGGTTTTGCATGGTTTTACCATGGAAAAATGGGAAGAGAATGGGTTTTTATTGATATTTGTTATATTTGTTATTCACTTATGTTTATTCGTATATTATTATTTATATATTGGTATGATAACAATAATAATAATAATAATAATTTTTATTTTGAGTGTGTATATATATATATATATTATTATCATTATTATTGTTGATGTTGTTATTATTACTATTTTTGTTATTATTATTTATTATTATTGTCATTGTTATTGTTATTGTTATTGTCATTATTTGTATGTGTTATTGTTATTATTATGGAAAATACTATAGTTGAGATTTTTTTATGGGTAGAACTATGGTAATAACCACCATAAATTTGGATGTGGTGCCGGGACATCTATGACGGAACGATCCGACTTGGCAACCAGCCAGATGGCCAAAGGCTAAACCTTAGCGAAGGATTGGTTGATGAGGTACTTTTTTTCGGCGAATATAAGGCGATCATCAACGATCCATGGTAAATGACCAAAAACGATTAGAGAAGTGGATTTCCATATCTATAGCGTATAACCTTGTGAATCTCACGAAAAAGCTGCATTGCCCATGCTACCGCGCAGGAGTCTTTCCAACGCCACGCGCTCTTCTCTCTTAGATCAAGTGCGCAGGCGCTCCTGGGTGTCGGTGGACAAAATGCTGGAAATCCTGAATCATTGGATTTTTTTTGGTCAGATTCAGCATCAACTGGACTCAATTGTGGCCATTTACATAGGCAAAATCATGATAATCCATTGGAATTGGGAGTACCAGGCAAATTCTTGAGGCCCCAATTTTTGGGGAAATACAGAAGTATTCCGATGTGGCATCATGGCATTATAGTCTCTAATGTCTCTAATTGGTGAGCCAGGTCAGACTTTCGACTTTCGAACATATGCTTGTTGAGCGACATGCTTTCTATGATTGAGACCGGGCGTTGAGCCCGCAAAAGACAGTCAACGCGTGTTAAAGCATGTTTTTGTTGGAGTCCTATGAAACTGATACATATTAATATATATATATATACATGAAATAAAAATAGATAAACATGTCTCGCGAGTTGCGCCCTTTTCCAAGCTCCTGACGTATGTTCTATCTATGTTCACCCACACAGCTCGTTCCAAGCTTTCGTCCAGGGGCGAAGGAGTTGGGTTCTGGGAGCCTGGTCGATCCAAGCGCTTTGGCGAAATTGGTCCAGGAAATTGCTATCGGAGTATACCCACCATTGTCTTACTGCTGCTTAGTAGGGAATGGAATGGGGGAATGGGATGATTATTACTAGTATGGATTATTCCCTCATTCCCTACTAAGCACCAGTAAGTTGTTGGAGAAATCCAAATGGTGATATGTTGATATATATTTTTAGGAGTTGTGCTCCCAGTGTCATGGTTGTTGTGGCTGAAACAAAAATCTGAAATAAGAAATTGCAGAAAATAGTGGATGTTTCTCATTTTTGGATGGTCAACCCTCACGGTGAATGTTTGCTGTTGTTTTCCACTGCTTTCTGGCCACTATGTGATGGATGAATTTTGAATGTTGGTAGTGGTTCAAACAAAAATGGCTATGGGCCAAATTTCATCAAAATTCATCAAAATTCATGAACTCCAAAAAAAATGGTTCATTTTTTATACGAAACAGTGACCAATCGTGTGGTACCGTCGGTACTCCATTTTTGACCGCTGGTGGCTCTGTACTGAGGCTCAAACAAGCTTTGGATAAGTCAAGGACGACGGTCTGGAAAAAATAAAAAGGGGTTGCTGTTGGGATGACAGTGCTGGGTGCGAATCACTTTCTGAAAATCTGTGGTTCAGTAAATGGGATGCTGGCACTAACAAGCAGAGAAGTTGGCCATGGTTGGATGTTTGAAGGGTGTTGACTCTGTGTTGACATCATCCAACACCATGGAATGGTAAACGGAGGTGCTGGGACAATTAATCTTAGTATAATTGATGTATATTGTGTGTTGTGATTTTTGTGTTTTTCCCCACCTGCCAGGTGAGGGTTGTTAGATTTTATGTCAGTTGCCTGCTCCTCCTCTCCTCTCCTCTCCTCATCTCCTCTCCTCCTCGTCGTCCTCCTCGTCGTCCTCCTCGTCGTCCTCCTCGTCGTCCTCCTCGTCCAACTGCGACCCTCGACGCACAGTGGTCTCTGTCGGACCTCAACCACGACCATCCACGCCCAGTGTTCCCTGCCGGACCTCAACCACGACCATCCACGCCCAGTGTTCCCTGCCGGACCTCAACCACGACCATCCACGCCCAGTGTTCCCTGCCGGACCTCAACCACGACCATCCCCGCCCAGTGTTCCCTGCCGGACCTCAACCACGACCATCCACGCCCAGTGTTCCCTGCCGGACCTCAACCGCGAGTATCCCCGCCCAGTGTTCCCTGCCGGACCTCAACCACGACCATCCACGCCCAGTGTTCCCTGCCGGACCTCAACCGCGAGTATCCACGCCAAACGCCCCAGAAGATATGCCAGATAGAATGTTAGAAGATATGCCAGATAGAATGTCAGCTAGAATGCCAGAAGATATGCCAGATAAAGTGCCAGAATGTTTGCCAGATAGAATGCCAGCAGATTTGCCAGATAATATGCCAGAAGATATGCTAGATAGAATGCCAGCTGGAATGCCAGAAGATTTGCCAGATAATATGCCAGAAGATATGCCAGATAGAAGAATGCCAGAACATCTGCCAGAAGATATGCCAGGTAGAATGCCAGAAGATATGCCAGATCGAATGCCAGAAAATATGTCAGATAGAATGCCAGAAGATTTGCCAGTAACAAAATTTATAAATGTCATGGTGGGGATCACACGAAGTAAAGTAATTTGCTTGATGTATTCCTGATTATTGTTGATGTGCTTTGTGCTGGGCGGTGACATGTTTGGCCAAAGCTTTCACTGGTTGTATTTTGGTCAGATCAGAGAGGGATTTGAGGGTTTTAGATTTTTTTGGAGGTTTGAGGGATTTGATATAGATATTTAATTATTCATCTATACAGTATATAACTTATCCTTTTCTCTGGGTTCAACTGGGCTTGCACACTCTGTCGAAGAATTGCCCTTGACAGGGTCAAACATATCAGTATGTATTTATTTCGACCGGTTGATTCAATATTCACTGTATATCAGTATTGGAAATAGTGCTGCTGATATTGCCTTTATCAATACTTAAGAGACTGCACACATATTTTTCTTATTCAAATTTATGTATTTCCGTGAGTGTCAAGTGTTTGACTTTTCATGATTTTGGGCTCTAGTGTAACATTCTTGTGTACTTCTATATCATTCTTTCTCTTTGAGATCATGATTAGATTGGTCGGCGTATCGGGACACTACATTAGTCATAAATGTTAATCCATCGCTTCCTTCAAGTACGCTACCCTTGATAGTTCTTGTATAAGCTTGACTGTATTTTGCTTATTGCTAATACACCATGAACATCAACACTATTACAAGAATTTGTGAGTAAAGCATCCACTTCACTATCGTAACAAGGGGAAAATAGATTATTTTGTGTGCCATCGTTTCATAGTTGGATAAATCGACACTGCCAGTATATCCCACTATTGGCACCCAATATACCCCACCATATTCTTAGTATTTGGTGTGTCTATGTCTATGTGTGTCTATATTAATGTAAAATTCTCCGAGATAGAATGAAACCTCCACGATATCCAGGGTGACTATATTATGACTATATATATATATATCCAGGAGCCGGAGCAGAAGTCGCAGCCGCAGCCGGAAGAGAGGTCTGGCTGCTGGCCTGGGCCATGGGGCCAGCCATGGGGCCATGGGGATTTAACCATACAATGGAAGGAATGGGGCCATGGGGCTTTTCGATTTGAAAAAGGAATCATTGGGAAGGAATGTTCAATTTGTACCCAAAAACGTACCCAAATGTACCCAATTGTACGAAAATTTGATGTAAACCAATGATTATACTGGGTACATTTGGCTAGATAGCTACCAATCGTGTCAAATTCTGCGTTGTGCCACAAATAGCTATGTGTGTTGCATCGCAGGCATGGATGTTCGGTCTGCGGGTCTCAGAATGGTGGATTGTCTCATGAAGAATCAAATACCCTCTGGTTATGACTAACATAGCCATGGTATAGATGGCCCATAGAAATAGATGGTTTACCAATTAAAAATGTTGATTTTCCATGGCTATGTAACAAATAACCAGATGCTATAGGGAAAATATGGCTTTCAACCACGGAGTGGAACCACGCTCCACCTTGTGAGATAAGTGTCCTGATTCCGGAGGCGAGAAGCCTCAGATTCACTGGTCGTTTGTTTGTCTCATCCCATTTGTGAGTGGAGTATTCAATTGTGACGCATACCCACATGGCTCGTAAAATTCGGGCATTCTATATAGACACTGAAAACCATCAACAATCTACCGAACAATAGGGAATGATATAAACGAATACTTCACTATTTCTCAAAACATGTGTGACCTGCAAATGCAGATTATATCATTATATTTCAGACCACTAATTGTCAGTGGATTAATACCTAATTATTTCTCAAAACTAGACATTTAGATCATTTAGTGACGAATGTATAAACCAACCCACTAAATGTCAGTGGATAAACCTTGATCTGGTAGGTTACTAAGCCCAAATACTGCAGGGTGAGTTCATGGGATTTTTCCACTGCGCCAGGACGCCGGCGCAGCACGTCTTCATCCAGGTTGACCCCGAGGGGGTCGACTGGGTGAAGTTTGCCCTTAAAAATGTGGATTTGAGCAACTGAAACATGATTTTCAAGTGCAGAAAAGTGAGGGTTTCACAAGGAGCGATTTGTATCAATTTGTGACATCGGCAAACCATGGAATTTGGGTTTAGCCAAAAAAACGGTGCTCTCACCATGTCTCAGCAGAATGCCGATTTCAGCAAGAAATGTTGGCCCAGGAAATTGCACCCTTGTTATGTCGTTGTTGATCCCAGATGTTGCCATGTTTGATGACCGGACAGGCACAACCATGATTGGGAAACTCACCTTAAGAATGGGAAACAAACCATGAAGTTAAAATTTGGTAATGCAACTGATAGATACTGATACAACAAAAACACATATGTTTCTTATACCGTCACATATATATACATATATATATATATATGAATATAATCTGTATAAGTATGTGGAAGCATTGGCATGTATATAGACACATTTATACTTACACACCATATGCAATCATATGCAAAAAAAAATGCAAATATAATACTGTATGATCGAATATATATATATATACATGCATATATATATATATATATATTGGATATACATTACATACGAGTAACAAAAATGAAAGTATGACGGATATAAACACAACATCATCAACATCGTCGTCCAGCGCCTCAGGTGACGAACCGGCGCTGTCATCAAAAAAGTGGGCTGTGGCGGCGCTCACGAACTCGCGGCATTCGGAGATGTTGTTTTGCCTAGAGGCCTAGAAGTGGTATATATTGTTATTAAGTGGTTAATAAGCCCCCAATACTGTAGGTTGTTATGAATGGTTGTTGTTGGTTAATAAGCCCCCAATGAACTGCTTTGATGATTGCCTGAACGGGCAATAAACGACAACAACGCGTACAGATTGCGGGTATCGAAGGTATCCCTGAGACGCTATAAACAGATGCCCTTTGCATACTCAGAGCAGGAACAAAGCCCCAACAACTATGGTTAATATGTGATATGTATTGGATAAATATGGATAAATCATGATAAATCATCAGTTTTATAGAAAATGGTAGAAATTTAGAGTTTTTTTCACAACATGGTTGATAATTGGTGGTTTCAAGCATCTTTAGTTGTCAACAGTTGTCAACCCTATTTGGGAGGCTGATCCTAACTGACTTTAATATGTTTCATGGGTTGAAAAGCACCAGCTGAGCCGTTTCGGCCCGCTATTTCGAGGTCCTCTGTGATCATGGAGATAGGGGACACAAATGGAAATAACAAGTTCCCATTGAACACCAAAAAGATCCAAAAAGTAAGTTCAAGCCTCTTCACAAGAAAAGTGTGAAATTCTCGGTGAAGACTCAGTGATTTGTCCATGTTTGGGTCATGTGTTTTTCCATTCTCTTATCAAGAAAGTGGTTGTGCGACCACTACCTGCGCCATGAAAGCCTTGAGTCCCTTGTCTCAAGCCCTGCGACATTTGCGCTGCCGCGGATATAGCTCTGCTGGATGGCAACTCGCTGGGTATCGCTGAGTGGAGAAATCAGTCAAAGAGCGTCAGCTTACGGAGTCATTAAGATGAAGATTCCCAAGTCATCACGGGTTTCAATACTAATCCATTGTCTAATTAATGACTTGGATGATTTGGGGGTACCCCAATTTTAGGAACCCCCCAATATGACTTGTAGATCCTTGTGTAGTCTGTATATGAAATATACAGAGAATCACAGAGAGAGAGAGAGAAAGAGACATATTATATACATATATATAATATGCTTGAAGATGTGAATATGTAGATGATGAAAACGTAGTGTATGGGCAAATGCCGGGGATGTTGCTTGATACATGCCCGAATGTTGCCAGCTGCAGAAACAGCTTCGTTTTCTTGGTTCGGGGGTGCTGTGCCATCTCCCAACATCCAGGGGATTTTTTTCCATCGTCCCCAAAGCTTGAGGATTTATCATGACAGTATTTTCCTGTATTTTCTACGTAGCTTGTCATACTGCATGTTTTTCATCAAACACACAAACTCATCCCAGAACGGCGCGCGGAGAATCGAGCTGGAGAATCGCTCCGGAACCTGTTGGGACCAGTTCCTTTTTGTGTCTTTTGATATGCAACGCAGTTGGCTACATCAATGATCATCTATATCTGGTTGGTGGTTGGAGCATGTTTTTTATGACTTTCCATTCAGTTGGGATTTTCATCATCCCAACTGACGAACTCCATCATTTTTCAGAGGGGTAAGTCAACCACCAACCAGTATATTAAGAATCATACACCATATCTATTGATTATTAACCATATTATTCCATATATCAACCAGATTATAACCATATATATATATATTGATATGTTGTCTCACAGAAGGTGGGTCCCTTGGCTCCCAGGAAAGCTTCTGAATACAGTCGAGAGGCCTTTCGGGGCACCATGCATTGATTGGTTTGGAGCAAAGCCAAGAAAACTGGTTGGTGTCACAGTGGTTATTTCGTACTAGATTGGTTGTTTAGTTGGAATTGTTGTTGAATTATAGTAATCATTCCAGTCTTCCCCTTGAATGATTTTAATGACCAATATCTTCCTTGATCAATGTGGTTACGAATGTCAAAAGGGTGGCTCAACTGCCTGCCATGGTTTGAGTTGAAATTGAGCCTAATAAGCTACTACTCAGCAGTCAGAAATGTTGCTCAAAATTGGGCTATACAATCAATCAACATTCACCGCTGCGAAATTGGGGAGAGCTAGGTTCCAGCATATGTACCCCTGTGATATATACATATACATATATATATACAGTATTATATACAGATATATATATATATATGTATAGGTATATGTATATGTATATGTATATGTCTATACATATATTTATATGCGTGCATATGTGTGTATGTATATATATATATGTGTATAATATGACCATGTTGTTATTGTGCTTATTCTGTCTTGTTCTTGGGATTCCAAGTTTCGACACATGATGATCCCCGATGGACGGTGTAGATCCCCAGCACTGAAGCACCATTAGTTGGGCTATCCAAAATGATCTGCCATGATTGGAGCCTCAAATTCCAGGGGTTGGTAACTGTCCCATTTTGGGAATATTGGACATCACCTGAAAATAGTAGCCATGGCATTGACCATATACCGATTTTGGTTGGGTGATGTTCAATGGGGACATTTAATGACCCATGAATTCCCTCCCCGGCAGACTCTCCTGGCTGCGGGAACCTTGGGGCTCTTCTGCGGCATCGCAGCAACGAGACCGCCGAAGAGCCACGGCTGCGACTGCGAGGTGCGAGTTCCGGCCTGGAAGCCGAGGAAGCAATGGGAAATGTATGGAACTGTGGGTTGATCACTCTTGATAAAATTGATTTAAAACAAAAACATGTGAAAAAAATAAATAAATAATAATAAATAATAATAATAATAAATAATGATATGTTGGTTTAAGAGTCAATCGAAAACCTTGTAACCAACAACACCTTTGGGTGGAAGCAGAAACCATGGGGAAATCTCAGTGAATCCTGTCTCACCTACCAAGCTGGAAGGGAACGAATCAGCTTTGCCTAGGCACCCACTGGACATTAAGGAAATGAATGGAAAGAAATATGAAGGTCAATTCAAAATCTCAGTGTTTTCACTAACATTCGAATAGTTTGTGTGATAAAAATGTGGCCTACCGAACACGCATGGATTGAGAAAAGACTTAAGATTGGATTTATAGAAATTGGCATGGAACCGACAACGGTAAAACAATTCCGTTGCTTCACACATGTTCGGTATTTGTCCTCATGAAGCCTGGAATTTGGGCAAAAAGGGTTGGGATGTGTGCCTACCGCTGCAAAGGGGATAAAGGGAGCTAGTTAGATGATACTGATATGTTGCGAAATTGTTCGTAAGTGGTGCGTTGTGTTTCCGGGGAATTTCGCCACAATATTATGGGCCCTCGCCGTGTGGTCATGTACCTTGGGAATGGAAAATTCCATATTTGCATCCATTACTGATGACGTTCATTCATGTTGATTGATTTCCCCCTACAAAAGGGAAGGTTTCGTTTTAGAACGCGGGATAATACTCAATTTGAAACGCGACTTTATTACTCATTTTGAAACGCGACACACTCTGTGCCATGGTTTCCATGATATCTGTGTGGTTTCCACGGTTTCCATGGTTTCCATACTTTCTTTGCGGTTTCCATGGTTTTTGTGGTTTCCATGATCTCTTTGCGGTTTCCATGGTTTCCATGGTTTCCATGATTTCTTTGCGGTTTCCATGGTTTCCATGATTTGTCTGCGGTTTCCATGGTTTCCATGATCTCTTTGCGGTTTCCATGGTTTCCATGGTTTCCATGATTTGTCTGCGGTTTCCATGGTTTTCATGATTTCTTCTTGCGGTTTCCATGGTTTCCATGGTTTTTGTGGTTTCCATGATCTCTTTGCGGTTTCCATGGTTTCCATGGTTTCCATGATTTCTTTGCGGTTTCCATGGTTTCCATGGTTTCCATGATTTGTCTGCGGTTTCCATGGTTTTCATGATTTCTTCTTGCGGTTTCCATGGTTTCCATGGTTTCCATGATGTCTGTGCGGTTTCCATGGTTTCCATGATTTCTTGGCGGTTTCCATGGTTTTCCATGGTTTCCATGATTTGTCTGCGGTTTCCATGGTTTCCATGATCTCTTTGCGGTTTCCATGGTTTCCATGGTTTCCATGATTTGTCTGCGGTTTCCATGGTTTCCATGGTTTCCATGATTTGTCTGCGGTTTCCATGGTTCCATGGTTTCCATGATTTGTCTGCGGTTTCCATGGTTTCCATGATTTGTCTGCGGTTTCCATGGTTTCCCTGTTGTCCAAGATTTCTGTACGGTTTTCATAGTTTGCACGGTTTCCATGGTTTCTGTGTTTCCTGAAGCCTCCCAATGCCAACAAGTGAACCGTCCTGGAACCCTGAACAGCAACTGAGATCCCGACCCCAACCGGAAAAAAGAAATGTTTCAACCCAAAAAACTAGACGACGGTTGGCCCGAGAGCGAAAAAGCCGTTTTTCAAGCAGCTCTGAGTATGGTAGTCGTAAAAAATAGTCGGTGATAGGTTGGTGAATTTTATATGAGCTATGGAGGGGTAAGTTGTGAAAAGTAAGATTGATTAAGAAGAGGATACATGTGACAACCCATGCATATGCACTGTGCTGCTTGGTAAAGGGCATCATATGACACGTGTCTTGCAACCACAGAGAGACATAGATAGAGAGAAAGGGGGAGAGAGAGAGAGAGAGAGAGGGAGAGAGAGAGAGAGAGAGAGAGAGAGAAAGAGGGAGAGAGAGAGAGCAGGGTCTTCTGTTGTTAGTATTGAGACACTATATTGCAAGACAATATAGTAAAGATGTATTTTAGGCAGGCGAGACAAGTAGTATCAAGACAATATATTACAAGTACAAAACACTAGTTTGCATCCTATCCTTCGTATTGTTTTTCACACGCAGACGCTTTTGCACAGAAGCTGTTACACACAGACGCATTTACACACAGACGCTTTTACACACAGACGCTTTTACACAGACGCTTTTACACACAGACGCTTTTACACACAGACGCTTTTACACACAATTTTCACACACACAGGCTTTTACACACAGAAGCTTTTACACACAAACACTTTCACACACAGAGGCTTTTACACAGAGGCTTTTACACACAGACGCTTTTAC